AGGAAATGCTGTTTTAAGTGAAGCACAGCTTAACAGCACAACTTAAATGAGAAAGTACTCTTTTGATTAGGTATGACAACGGGCTTCCTTTAAAACAAACAGTACCGGGCGTTGCATGTGTAGCTCAGAAATAGCTGCACGACTGGCCAGGATTGTGTTACAGAGTCAGTGGCTCTTGCAAATAGGGACCCACCTAGACCTTCTTTGCTGGGCTCTTAAAAACTCCCTGTCAGTAGGGAACAGATTCCTAGTTGTGGGGTAACTCATATGCTGTATTGTCAGGTGTGGGGAGTGCCAGTTTCTCCCCTGAAGGCCACTTTCCCTATGAAGTAATTTGTTGGGTGCTGAATGTCATGGGTAGTTGGGGTTGGAACTAAAATTTTGCAGGGCCACCTGCCCCATTCCTCCACATGCCTGAACACTCAGTGGTATTAGCATTGTAGGATTGACTTGTGGCAGAAGCCCAGGACCCCACTCTGCAGAATGAACAGGAGGGCTCTCAAACTCTGCAGAGCTGGCTTATCACACTTGGACCCTGTTAAGTCCAGATACACGAATTACCTAATTGCCCCACTGCATCCATTAATTTTCTTACACACACACACACACACACACACACACACACACACACACCTTCTCTAAGTGGGATTATTCCTGGAATTGTACTGTGCTTCCTGTGTGCTCTGTGTGTCTCAGAAGCACAGAATGAGAATAAGGTTATATATCCAGGAAGGCTGCTTCTCGTTCTGCTTAAGAGAAGGCAGCGGAACACTTGCCATTGTGAGTATGGCAAATTGGATTGAAGACCCCTGATCATGACTCCTCAGTTTGGAATTAGAAAGGCACTAAGCCATTCCAGAAATTACTTTTTCAGTAGCACACAATTCTGTTCAGTTTCTGACAGACACCAGCTGGCTTAAGAATTTCACTTAGAAGGCTTGTTGAAAGAGGGATGTCAAAAGGGCAATAGAGAAGGTCCCTTGCGTTATATAAAATGGCAGGGAGTTCCAAAAGGCCATCTCCATTCCTAAAAACTTTCCTAGTTCAGTTTCTCTGTGTGTCTCGGTTGAGTCAAGAGGCAGAAAGTTAACCCCCCCCCTTTCATTCTCAGTGCATTGTGTAGGGCTATTGATCTTCACAATTGTATTTGACATTGCACAGGCTCTGTGAGACGTCTTCCACCCTCCCCCCGCCAGCCTCTTTTTTCCCTTTTTTGGTGAACCTTTTGCTTTTCTAGCCACTTCCCAGAAGTGTTTTTTTGTTTTTCTTGGGTTTTTTAAAATCAGGCTGCTAGTTTTCATGGTCCTGGTCTCTTTCTCTTTCCTTCGCCCCTCCCTCCCTTCCCCCCTCCTGATCCATGATCTTCTTGCCCCCGGGGCTGGGCTGGAGGACTGCGATATCAGCCAGTATGTTGTAAAAACTTTGAGCTGCTTTATTTCACCACCATCATTTACTATGAAGAGCCTAAGGATGTGCTGTACAGTGGAACCTTGGGTTACATACGCTTCAGGTTACAGACTCCGCTAACCCAGAAATAGTACCTCAGATTAAGAACTTTGCTTCAGGATGAGAACAGAAATCGTGCTCTGGCAGTGTGGCAACAGCAGGAGGCCCCATTAGCTAAAGTGGTTCTTCAGGTTAACAACAGTTTCAGGTTAAGAACGGACCTCCGGAACGAATTAAGTACTTAACCCGAGGTACCACTGTATTAGTTTTGAGATCTGTCACTTCATAGATAATCAGGAACTAGGTAAAGGTAAAGGGACCCCTGACCATTAGGTCCAGTCGTGACCGACTCTGGGGTTGCGGCGCTCATCTCGCTTCACTGGCCGAGGGAGCCGGCGTACAGCTTCCGGGTCATGTGGCCAGCATGACTAAGCCGCTTCTGGCGAACCAGAGCAGCACATGGAAACACCGTTTACCTTCCCGCCGGAGCGGTATCTATTTATCTACTTGCACTTTGACGTGCTTTCGAACTGCTAGGTTGGCAGGAGCAGGGACCGAGCAACGGGAGCTCACCCCATCGGGGGGATTCGAACCACCGACCTTCCGATCGGCAAGTCCTAGGCTCTGTGGTTTAACCCACAGCTAGGCCAGAAGTCAAACTCATCAGCTGAGACTCCACTGTCTCCACTTGCTAGTAGTGGCTCTCCAGGACTTCAGGGAGTGGGGACATTCCCAGTCCTTACCTGGAGAAGCTGGAAACTTCTGCATTTAAAACAGATGCCCTACCATTGCGCTTCAGCCTTTCCCAAATATGTTGCGTGGACAAAGAACTTTAAAGAGTTCTGAATTCTGCCTCTTTCGTGCCATTTCTTCACCTTGATGATTCTGTTTCTCTGTGTGTAAATCCTGGTCCATGCTGGTCTCTCACAAAGTGTTGGTGCTGACCTTTAAAGACCTAAATGGCCACAGCCCAGTATACCTGAAGGAGAGTCTCCACCCCCATTGTTCAGCCCGGACATTGAGGTCCAGCTCCGAGGGTCTTCTGGCGGTTCCCTTGCTGCGAGAAGTGAGGTTACAGGGAACCAGGCATAGGGCCTTCTCTGTAGTGGCACCCGCCCTGTGGAACACCCTCCCATCAGGAAATAAACAACTATCTGACTTTTAGAAGACATATGAAGGCAGCCCTGTTTAGGGAAGCTTTTAACGTTTGATGTCTTATCGTGTTTTTAATATTCTGTTGGGAGCCACCAGAGTGGCTGGGGAAACCCTCCCAGATGGGTGGGGTATACATGATAAATTGTTGTTGTTGTTATTTATTATTATTACTGTATAACATGCCAGCCTTCCAAAAAGTTTTATCGCTTATGTGCAGGGGTTCAATGTGAAGAATTTCCAGCAAGTAGGTACTGCCTGTTGCCCAGACTTTTCTTATTGGGGAAACTTGCCAAAGGCTGAAACATTGCTCCATTTCACCAAATCAGGTTTTTTTTTCAATTGCACAAAATGTTGCCCGCTAGTGGCTTCATGTGCCAGAGCTGTTGCGCCTGTGTTGCATGGGCGCTGTGAATGGTATCTGGTGGCTGCTACAATTGCACAAATTGTCGTTTGGCTGGAGTGGGGAGTCCATGAAAAGATAAACAGCATTGCAAAGAGAAAACTAAAAGCATGGCCCATAGGAAGAAAATCCAAAATTCATATCAGGGCAAAACCTTTATTAAACCAACAAGAGCAATAGAATCAAAAACTTGCACGCTGTTTTGTGGCATTTTGATTAGCCTAATAAAGGTATTGTAGCTAGTATAGATTTTGACATTATTGCAAATGTGTGTCTGTCAATTGGCAAAGAAGGCTCACGCACCAGGAGAACGTTAAGCAAAAAAACTGCTTTGGCAATGTCTTATAGAAGGGCAGTGTAAATTTAATTAATTTTGCTAGCTTGCTCCAAGCCTAAAATAAACATGCAAGTCTGTCCTGTTACAGCATTCATGAAGATTTAGCTCTGGAACATGGTTTTCAGAGTACACCATGTGAAGAAGAAAAGTAGCTAGCTTGAGTATATTCAGTGATACATTGTTATAAATTCAGGTAGATAGCCGTGTTAGTCTGACGCAGTAGAAATATATTTTAAAAAATTAAAAAATTGTCCAGTAGCACCTTAGAGACCAACTAAGTTTGTTCTTGGTATGAGCTTTCATGTGCATGCAAAGCTCATACCAAGAACAAACTTGGTCTCTAAGGTGCTACTGGACATTTAAAAAAATTAAATAATATTTAATTTCTATTTCTATTATTATAAATGTCTTTATTTTCCCTTTACCATTGAGTACTACAATCACCAAGATTAGAGGTGGTTTCCAGGTGTTTTCTTGTTAATATATTTATTGATACTTACTCAAAGATATACAAAAATTCATACCTGTTATAAAATAGATATAAACATATATAAAAGATATATAAAAGTTCATATCTTTTTATAATACATTTAAATCAAACAGATACTTAATCTAAAAAACAACAGAGGCAGAAAAAAAGAAAAGAAAAATGAAGAGAAAGCAAAAGAGAAAAGGATAAGGAAAGATAAAAAGACTTCCAATTCTCTGTCCTGCAGCTAAATATAGTATTCACTCATTAACATCCAGCCATTCTACTGATGAATATTTTTTTCAATCTTCAAATCCAAATATTACATGTTCACTTTCTCTTTCATGCAAAAAGCCCATAGGAAGTTTCCAATCCTTAATAAATTTCAGTAATGATTTTTCTCTAATTAAACGCATTAACTTTGCCATCTTAGCCAAGTCCAATAGTTTTATCAGCCATTCCTCTATAGTGGGTCGGGTTGTATCTTTCCATCTCTGTGCATATAACAATCTCGCCATTAGCTTATTTCATTATAGAAATCAGGCAACTGGTCTGGCTTCTAATTCAGACTCTGACAATCACTTCCTCTTTGCTTTTTTTTCTGGTGGGGGGGTAACACTTCTTTTAGCAATGATTTCCAATTGATCCATCAGTGAGGACTCCTGATGCTCTGCTAAAGCCCCCTTACTCCCTAAATAGTAACATTCAGATAGGGGGGGAAGGGGGAAGAACAGAATGAGGGCAGTTATATCAGTCGCCCTTGAATTACTGTCGTAAAGCTCCCATTTTGGAGTGCCTTCAGTGACTAGGGCCTAATGAGGATGTTCAGATCTGATCTGAGTCCCTTACCAGAAAGCTGGGAAAAAACCCCACATATATTTGATCTTGGCAGCGATGATCATAGAAATGGCGATTGGCGAGAGGAGGACTTCTTTCAGCAGGAAATCATTTGAAAGATGCCGCTTTTCCTTTAGCGTCTCAAGGCAGGCACAGTTGCAGAGACAGACAACTGAACCGTTTGCAAAGTTGGTGGTTGGGTTTTTTTTTGTTTGTGCCTGTCTCCTTTCATTCCTACAGCTGCAGGCAGGCTGTCAGCGCTTGCTGGTTCTTGCTGACCCAAAGGTTGCTGTGGTGGTTCGAGAAAGATGTGAGTTTTATTACTGGACCCTTTTATGTTTCCCTTTCCATTCCAGTCTCCTCCCCCACCGTTGGAAAGCCCTACAAATGTAATTATTGCGGCCGCAGCTACAAGCAGCAAAGCACGTTGGAAGAGCACAAGGAACGCTGCCACAACTACCTGCAGAGTCTTAACACTGAACCACAGTCGCTGGCTGGCCAGCAAGGTAAGTCTGGACCTGCCAGGCTGGGACAGGCGAGCTTGAGGGGCAGTGTTGTCGGTCACTTAGGATGGCTTTACGCACAGCAATTTTTGCAAGTATCCAAACCGGCTAGCAGGGTCTGTGTGGGTGGAACAGTCCAAATCGTCTTCAATGCAAAATTCCTTCCCTAGCTGGTACTTCCTCTTTGAGGTGGTTCCCCTCCACTGCATGGAATTTCCATCTAAATGCAGATTTAGTTACTGTTGCCATCATCATTATTATTTGCTTCATTTATGGATCACTTAGCACAAGGCATCCTGCCATCTGTTTCAGCAGCAGGCACTAGTTAGATAATGAGGACTAGAATCCCATATCTAGTCCAGGTGAAAATTTGGGTTTAGTGTCTAGAACATGTAAGGCCTGGTAGTCAGAGAAACCATGGCCTTGAAGGACAGAGTCTAAATGGGTTCAGTGATCAGGCTGGTCACTGAGATCCAGCTCCGAGGACCTTCTGGCGGTTCCCTCATTGCGAGAAGTGAAGGTAGAGGGAATTAGGCAGGGGGACTTTTCAGTAGTAGCACCCTCTGTGGAACGCCCTCCCATCAGATGTCAAGGAGTTGAGAAACTATATAACCTTTAGAAGACATCTGAAGGCAGCTTTTTAACGTGTAATGTTTTATTATGTTTTTATATATGTTGGAAGCTGCCCAGAGTGGCTGGGGCAGCCTAGTCAGATAGGTGGGGTACAAATAATAAAGTTGTTGTTATCATGGACCTGGGGAACAGGATCTAAATTGGATGGACTAAATTTAGCATTGGGAGTCTGTTCCATCCTTGCCGATTTTGCTGTGTGACTTTTCCTCCCTCGGCAAATCCCTGAACCGTCAGCATCTACTGTTTTCACAATACAGGCCTTCCAAAGGTTGAGGCAGAAACGCTCTAGGGAGCCAAACGTCACACCTGCTTTTGTTTCCTTGCCAGGTGACGAGATGCGAGACTTGGAGATGGTGCCGGACTCCATGCTTCACTCCTCAGCCGACCGGCCAACCTTCATTGACCGACTGGCAAACAGCATCACCAAACGAAAACGCTCCACACCTCAGAAATTTGTGGGTAAGGAGCTTCCCCTGGATTCCTGGAAGTGGACTAAAGGTAGCGGCAGGACAACGGAGCTGTTGACCACCGACAGTTGTGTTATTTATTGTCTTGGGTGTTTCCCTGTGGGCCATCAGATCTTGCATTCGCAGCCCCACCAGCTTTTATCGTCCCTCTCCATGCTGCATTGCAAAAACAAAAAAGTGGTTAGGCAGGGCATCTCTCTGCAAGCAGCAAGATGGCAGCTACCACTAGACTGGAACTTGACAGCCATTTATGCTCTCTGGAATAGCTGCCGTTAGTGGGATTTGGCTTCAAGTGTGGTCTAAAGTGTGGCTTCAAGTCTGAACCAAACTACAAGGTGGTAGACACACTAGATTAATTTGGCTGTTGTGGGAGTTGTTTTCTTCTGTTTTCATGGTATAATTTAATTGTATTCATGTTATTGAATGTGTTGTAAGTTAGAGACCTTCAGGTAACACGTGACTGACAAGTCTAATAGTTGTAGTAGTAGTAGTAATAAACAACTAATAGGTGCAAAATGGAGTCACAAATTCAAGAAGCAAGTTCAAATTGAGCCTTCCCCCTGCTTCTTACATAAAGTATTTCTTGCCTCCAGTCAAGTACAGACTCAGAGCTATGTGCTGCGGAGAAGAGGAAAGCATCATGCACCCGCTTCCTTGCCCAGCTGTTGCACAACAGCCCTGCAGTGCTGCCAGCTGAGTCTTTTAATCTGGTAGTTGCTTCCAGGACCCTCTTGCAGACCAGATGGGAGGGAAACAGGAAAGCACCAAAGCCCATTCCTTTTTAAACAGGCTCTGAGCCAGCGCATCCTACACTCTTCCATTCAGCCAGCACACAACTTGCTGAGGAAAGCAAGCCTTGCTTTCGGCTGCTTTATCCAACCTTGGAGATCAAAGAAAGGTTGTTCATTTCCCTGGCAGACCCCCCTCAACTTCCTTATGACCAGGAACCCTGAGACCAACACTCCTTGTATTTTCCAGACCACTCCCTTATAACTTCCGTAGAATGTAAAGGCAGCCCACGTTGCCTGAGTCTCTCCCAGAGCTCGGAGGGACATGCTAGTCTCTTACAACTCTGATCCTAAACTTCCGGCAATGTAAATTCCAGTTGTCTAGACATGTGGGAGTTCTAGAATCCTGTGGTTGGCAATTGCACACACGGTTAAATTGTGAAACCTTATTAGAAATAAAAGGTAGGGAAATTGACAGAAGGTAAAATCAGAATACAAAATAAGCCAGAGAGCACTGTGGGCCTGAAACTGGACTAATCCCAGCCCCAGCCCTTACGATATAATATTTCTAGTCTGTTTATGAGTAGACAGCAAGGATGGTTAGCTTCCTGGTGGTATAGAAGACCCAATCTGGACCCCGATGGTAGAGGGACCCCTCCCCCAACTGCAGGAGCTGCTCAGCTTTTTAAAGGTTCTCTCCTCTCTGGTTCTTTTGAAGGAAGGATCTCTGGCTCTTTCTGACCAATGAGAGTTCTCTCAGGTTCTCTTTTTGCATTTGAAATGGACAAGAGGGGGCTACGTACAAGAATTGGCAGGGGCAAGAGATTAACACCCTGCATGTGTGGCAATAGCTGCATCCAGAGATTTCTTTGCAAGGTTTTTTGTCCATGTGCTGTGCTCTTAATTGACTTCCATCCCTAACAGGCTCATCGTATTGACTGTAGAGGGAACTTGTCTTTTGATACCTCTCGTCCTTTGCCTTAGGAGAGAAGCAGATGCGGTTTGGCCTCTCCGACATGGCATTTGACGTCAGCTCCGGCTTCGAGAAGGACGTGGAGATGGTGGCGGCCCACCATCCCATGGACACGAGCTTTGGCGGATCCCTGTCCTTCATGGGAGCAGAACACTTGCGCCCTCTCAGAATCCCGCCGACCAACTGCATCTCCGAGATCACCCCCGTCATCAGTTCCGTCTACACGCAGATTCAGCCCCTCCCAGGCAGGCTGGAAATAGCAGGAAGCCGGGAAGCTGCGGAAGGCCACGAGGACCTTCCCGACGGGACGCAGATTGTGTACCGGGCATCTCGGGAGCCCAGCATGGTGTCACCTAGCAACGGCTGCCAGGATTCCACAGACACTGAGAGCATCCACGAGGAGAGGGGCTCACAGCAGCCGCTGCTGTCCGTCATTGGGAACTGCACCAGCAGCCGGCAGAGTCCGGCCTACGCCAAAGAGGACCCCAAAGTACAAGAGGGCATCATTCCCACCACTACTCGGTCAACTCCCAGCTCAGCCAAAGAAGCCCTGCGTGTGGTGAATGATGAAGGGGAACAGATAAAAGCCTTCAAATGCGAGCACTGCCGAATCTTGTTCCTGGACCACGTCATGTTCACCATCCACATGGGCTGCCACGGCTTCAGAGACCCTTTCGAATGCAACATCTGCGGCTATCACAGCCAAGACCGGTACGAGTTCTCCTCCCACATAGTGAGAGGGGAGCATAAAGTCGGCTAGTCCTAAACTCTCTCCCCTCTCTCCCCACCTTCCCAAATCTCCCTCCCCATCTCTCGTGCCCCATCCTCGCCGGGGATGGAGCCGTTCATTTCTTTTGTACTCCGTTGCACTGACTTTGGCTAAAAAAGAGAAATGTTCTAAAAAAATAAAATAAAAACCCTAACTTAAAAAAAAAAAATCCAACAAACTTGAGATGGGGAGGAGCTCATAACATTTGCCTTTTCTACGCTGTGTTATTTAAATACTGTTTATTGATTTTAAAGTTCTCTTGTGCTTTTGATTCTCTTCCACGCATAGTTGTTATTTATTAATTTCATTTCTCTGTTTTGTTGTCATGTAAGCCTTTTCTTTACGTCATTTTGCCAGGGGCTTCCTCCATTTTGAGGGATACGACACACACCTCTGGTACACATCAGCAAGATATTAGTGTCTTTCATGTCTGTCTCTCTCCTTCCTCCTCCATTCAAAGTTTCTTTGGGCTTCTTTTGGTGAATTTCAGTTCAGGTATCTCTTGTCAAGCCCACCATGTTAGACATTAAGAACCTCAGATCAGGTGCTAATATACTCTTGTAGAACTTTCCCCTTTCAAAGGGGCTAGGAAAGCCACGATTTGAGTTACACTTAGATGGTGATGTCAGGAAGAACCGCATGTTCCCTCTTTTTTGGGTGTCTGTGAAACACAGCATAGGAAGGTATCCTACTAGGAACTCTGTGGTCCCGTGAACTCTATACCTCTATGCTTCTGCATTATGACAGCTTTGTGTCTCTTCTTTCGGGGCACAGAAAAGGTGGCGAATTCTGCATCTGGTGAAAATGAAGGAGCTGCAGCGCCAACTAGTCTGAAGGAAGGTGGCTAGCGTTTGTGTACAAAGTTTGCCAGGGTGCTGCTTTTGCAAGCTCAGTTGAAGATCAGCATTAGGAAAGCAAATGCTTCCCCCCCCCCCCAGGATGCAAGGAAGGAACCTTAGCGTTGCCTGGTTAAAGGGCATGTTCTGCATCCCAGCCGTTAGGAATCTGGGATGCCCTCCTTCAAAAGGATGTGCTTGGTGTCCGTGTTGTTCAGCGTGACCTTCTCTCCAGGAGGGTTGCTTGAGCTAACGTCCTCTGAGCTTCCTTCTGCCGGCTCTTAAAGAGTCTTTTTTTTTTTTTTAGTGGAAGTTTTAGAAGGTGTGAGCTTCAACCCTTAGGTGAGTGTATGTCACTGACTTCTCTCTCCAAAAGCATGCAACTTCCGTAGGGTGAATAAATAAACATGACCCTGTTGGATGTGATTCCTAGGAGACACAATCAAGGGACTTTCAGTGGAAGGCAGGAAACAAGATAGGAAAAGCCCCTGTGGCTTTTAGTAACCTCCCTTGCAACTGCTAGAGTCGGGTGCTGAAGCCTTGTCACTTCTTGCTGTTGTTCTGGTGCCTGACTTCTGCCTCTCTCCAGTCAGTTGCTCAGGAATTGGTTATCACAAAGTAGCTTGGGGTTTGACTCCTTTCCCAGCAGGAAGGGCTGCCTTGTTTTTGCACAGATCAGTAAAAAACCATGTTCAGAAAGCATATGGGGTTTTTTTTGGACTCCATTAGCAAACTCTTGACAGCAGCAGCCGTGAAGGTGGAAGTTCCTTGTCTTGTACAGCTACGTAAAAGCATACAGTGGCATGGACAAAATCGTGTCGAGTAACTTCCGGTAACCTGTCTGCCCAATATCTACACAGTAGCCAGAGTCTCCCATTTTCTCACAGGTACGTGATCAGTGGTGCCAAAGAGGGCCATTGGTGTTCTGCAATGCAGATCCCGCCGAAAAAACCTTGCTTTGTGTACTTTAGTGTCTTAAAGCCTTGATCACCACGAAGGGCTGAAACCTCTAATTCTGTAGTTTGGTTGAAGATGCATTTCTGTTAGTGGACTGTAGGCAGGATTTGTTACTCCACGTCAGGCTTATGCAGTCATTCCTACCAGCCCAAGCAGAAATTCTGTTTATCCTTGCTTTTAAGAGTGTAATCGCCAAATGTAAAGGCTTGGGCGTTGAGGCAGCATAACTGGGGAAGTTTGCCTTTCTGCAAGGTGTTGTCCTTCGTCTCAGCACCTTGACCTGCTAGAAGCACCTTGCCTGAGAGAAAGAGATGGGAGGTAAGGGTAAAATTGTATCTCTAGTCTTAGGACACAGCAAGGGGAGAAGGCTTGTGGTTTTAGATAAATGCCCATGATGCATAAAAAATAACTTGCTCAACAGCAGCTCAGCAAACTGCTTCCTTGTGGGATAAACCAAAGGCTGTTCTTTTTCTACTTATAGAAACACCTCAAGTTGCAACGTTTTGTTCGGTTTTGCCCTTTTGTTATTAGACTGCTTTTTTTGAGATGTGAAATGCTAAATTTTCCGAGCTGTCGCCACCCCTTGCAAGGCCGGACAGATTTGCTTAACTGGAAAGGCCTTGACAAATGAGATATTCCGGGGGATTCCTCTAGAAGATGGGAAGGTGAGAACCTTCCTTCAAATAGTTGCACTCCACTGTTCTGCCACACTTTCTAAAGCTCTTAACTTTTCTGGTACAAAGTCACTTTCCCCTTCTGCCTTGTCACTTGGGTTCAGCATACGAATTGTATCTTACAGGTTCAGAAGGCATTTTGAGCTGGTTCCGGCAGATGTGTACTTTGTGGCTTCAAGCAGAGGGAATAGAATATTAAAATTATTGTCATTAAGATTACTATTGTGCAATACGAATGGAAGCTGCTGGGAGACTTTGCCAAATTGCTAAAGGGACTTGAGAGTCCACTTCCTGTCTTTTCAATGAGGATTGTACTTTCCCCTCCCTCCCTGCTATTCCTTAGGCCCATGGATAAAGGATTTTGATTTTTTTTAAAGCACTCATATCTCCTATTGGTGTACAGTATTCAGCACTTTTTGTGATTGTTGAACCGAAGAATCAGTTCAGAAGGCATAGTTCCCCCCTCAATAATTCCCAAGATTTGGATGCTCATTAAATTATATTATTTGAATGAAACTGCCCAGTGGTGATTCTGGGGATGACACTTCCGTACTGGGAATTGTTACGGGGTTTCTCATGTGACTGGAAGACATCTTATGATCCAGCCATTATACATTGTATTTTTGAATGTTTTGACTTCATACTGCTTTAAAAGTTAGGATTTGTCCACTACAAATCTTGCAAACATGAAGGTTTGAGTCAGATTAACACAAGCAGTTTGATAAGATAATTGTGTTGAATGAATGAACTCAAGGTGTTCCATTTGTGCCCCTGGAAATCTGTGAGAGCATATCTTAAAGCTGCTTCTTAGCTATTTTTTAAAACACACATTTGGGTTCTCAGGAAAGGCTTATCTAAAGACTTGTGAAAGCAGGATGTTGGAAATCTAATGCACATTTATTACATTTAATAAAAAACCTCAAAGCTGATTTCCAACTTTTAAAGACATTTACCTGTCATTGAGTGACTGTTTTGGCCCATTTTGTGTATATGAGCAAGTAAAAAAAAGCTTCTTCCAGAATGCGTTTTCAACATTTTTCCCCATGAACCGCCTAACACGCCAGTATTTTAGATGATTCTTGCATCTTGCTTATAGGATTCATCCTGTGAAAGCTAATTGTAGCCTTTTCACATAAATGCATTCAGAGAAAGATCTAAAACATTTGTCGCGTGAACCACAAATGTTATAGAATTAAATCTCTGAGTTGAGATGTTTGCACATCTTCTGATCCAGGCAGACCTGTGTGTATAGCAGTAATGAGAGAAGCAAACTCCTAAACTCAATGTGTGCATGTTTTTGTCCCTCCCTCTCCACCCCAGTATGAATCTAGGCCTAGAATGGTGTTTGCAGGAATCATTTCCATTTATAGGAAGATTCTCTCTTGTAGGATCTGACAGAGAGCACTTTCCTCTAGGTACATGAGGCTGTCTGGACCTCTGGTTGGGGCACACATGCAGGGTTGAAGGCTTCTCTCCCAGTGTGATTTGCAACACTATATTTAATTGGCAAGCACTATTATTCCATCGATCAAGGCGAAACAAAAGTTGGTATTTACAAAGTCCTTGAACCATTGAAAGAGATCACTTATTCCCCAGACATAGGCAAAATCTTATGTGTGGTGTTTGTTTGTTTGTTTATGTGGCCAGCCTTTTAAGCAGAAGTGGAAATAAAGCAGAGAGCAAAATTTGTGTCTCCTTTCCCCCACTTAGTAGATCAGCTGCATAGTTCATGCTAGGCACTTAAATAAATCTCAATCTGTAAAATAGAGCTTGGGGGAGACACACCCCAAAGCAGCTGTTACACAACCGGGGGCCTTTCCACATGTTTTTGGGGCCTACAACTCCCCATCAACCACAGCCATCTTGGGCTGAAGGCGAGTTACAGTACGAAGGATCTGAAACACCACCTTAGGGAAAGTTGCTAAGAATATGGAGTTTTTTTCCTAAAATAATCTATTCTTCCAGTTCTAGAAGTGATCCTCAATGCTCTCATCTTTTCCATGTGAGATTAGAGTTCTTTCCAGCTCCCCTAAACCAAATTCTGGGAAGAGGCATCTTTCTTTTTTTTCCAATGCAGAGACTAATATTGCTGTGAAAACTGTAAAACATAATCCGACTAGCTATGCTTGTCAACTTGATACATTTGTCAAGAAGTGGGGGCATGTATTGACTTCTTGACATATAACATTGGGAAGGAAATATGTTAGTGCAGTCTTTCTTGTTAGATATTTTTACAGGTTGTTGTTTTTTCCAGATACAAGTGTGATTCTTTGACAAGAACAACAACAAAAAATTAATAGGAAAATCGGCTTTCACAGTTGGGTACTGACTTCTTGAAAGCCAAAGATGGCCCTTGGGTGCTTGGCATCAATTAATGCCACACTGGTAAATTGAAGCACCTAAAGGGTCATTTGTTACTGTTGATTTCTATTTGTAAAAAGTAAAGATAATCCCTTTGTGCCTCCATACAAAGCCCACGTTCAGACTTTTTCTTCCTGTTTTTAGTGGGAATAGAACCGCTCTCTGCAGGAACTCTTTGGTTTTCTTTTGGTTTTCTTTTTTTAAAAAAATCAGAAATATTGGGTAGTTCTTGAGCTAAATGAAGACCTCCAGCTCATCACTGTTGAACTATATTTACTGCACTGTGGAATGGTACGAATCTCTCTTAAACCTGCTTCTGTGATGAATCAGGAGCAAGAATCCTGTTTCAGACTTCACAACTTACCTCCTGCTTCTCCCCTTTTGTGAAAATGGAAACAGGTTTGTTTTTAGAGAAACAAAGCTCTAAAATTTCTAAGAAAACCAGTGTTCTGTTTTATTTTTGCTTTCACCTGTATGAAGAGCCTAAAAAACAAATCTTGGAAATTTTGTAAAACTCCAGGTCTCTAACTTGTGTAAATATTATATATTTTTAAACCAGATGTATGAAGAACAAAAAGATGTGCAATATCCCCAACCCGCTACAATATTCTTCTCTTCTTTCTAACAAGCTTTCATTTGTATATTGTTATTGGATTTGCTGGTGTCGCACTCTTCCCCCCCCCCCTTTTTTTTTTGGTGGGGTTAAACTCACTTTTAAATAAAAGAAAAAACTCTTACTGCAAAAGCTTTTTTGTATCTGTAATATATTGTAAGTACATATTTGTGTAATGGAGATTATACTACTGTTAAGTTTTGTACTGTACTGGCTGAAGGTCTGTTATAAATAAACATGAGTAATTTAACAGCCTGGTCTCTTGTTTTCCTAACTGGATTATTGCCAGTTTTGTGCTGGTTCCCCATTCTTAGATCAGCACCCCGTTACAAAGCCATGCTGATTGATTAATTCACACATGCACAACCCCCCCCCTTTCATTTCATCAGAAATGAACGGATGTGCTCATGAAGATACATGTATACATTTCTGCTACCTGCAAAGACGGCCTAGGACCCTCGTACCTACGGGACCGCCTCTCCCAGTATGCCCTAGGAAGTTAGATTAGCTTCAACCAGAGCCAGGGCCTTCTCAACACTGGCTCCGGCCTGGTGGAACGCTCTGTCTCATGAGACCAGGGCCCTGCGGGATCTGATTTCTTTCCGCAGGGCCCGTAAGACAGAGTTGTTCCACCTGGCATTTGGCTTGGAGCCAATTTGATCCCCTCTTTCTTTTTTCCTTTCTCCTCCTGTGATGAGGCTGTGTTTTAATGTTGTATTTTAATCTTGTTTTTAAGTTGTATTCATTCAACTTGTTTTTATTATTGGTTGTTAGCCGCCCTGAGCCCGGCCTTGGCTGGGGAGGGCGGGGTATAAATAAATTTATTATTATTATTATTAGCACTGCAGTTTCCTTTATGGAGGAACTCTGCTTCAAAGAGAGACATTTTCATAAGTTTTAGGACAGGGGTTGGCAAGGTTTACCTCACCTGGGCCAGTTCACTCCAGTGGAGATCCCTCTGTGGGCTGGATCGCGCGCACGCCTGTGATTTTCGGTGTCTGCGCAGACGCCATTTCCGGCACCACAGAAGCGAGTCTCGAATGGGCAGCTTGGTTCGGGGGCGGCTCGGGGGCTGGTTAAACAACCCCTGTGGGCCTTAGGTTGCCAACCCGTTTTAGGACCCAAAGCATATATGCCAGTCCAAGTTGCCAGTCTATGGTTGGACAGAAACAAGGGTAGTGTATAAGCAAATACCTATATTTATAGGCTCTTCATAGGATCCTTTTGCTTGCCCCATTAAATAGAGTGAGAGCCAGCACTGAAAACTGAGCTGCTAATCTTCATGTTTGTTAACTTTTTTTATGCTGTCGCTGTTATTATATCTGTCACCTGATTTCAGAAAGGTGAATTCAAAGTGACCTTGAGATGCAATGCCATGCTCTCCGCAAACACGACTGTGGCTGCATCTACACAGCTATAAATACAAATTCTCGGGGGGGACGGGACGTTTTAAAGCTCACGGTGGTAAATTGTCAACTAGTATTATAATGCATTTATAATTTGTTTTTACTAATGTAGCTGAGTCCTGTAAGTATTTGCTTAGGACTGAGTACAGAAATATTATTATTATTATTATTATTATTATTATTATTAAATTTTATTTATACCCCACCCATCTGGCTGGGTTTCCAACTCAGGTGTCTGATACAGTAGCAGTTCAGGCAGCGGCTGAAAACCCAAGTGCTGAGTGTGACTGACGGCCAAACTAATACTACTCTAAACATGGTCAGAAAAATGCATGAGGCATTAAGGGTCACAGGAGTGTGGGATATTGGAATAGAGCCCATCTTAGAATTCACACATCATTGACCACTTCATACGAAGTAGGGTGCAAGCCCATTTCCACCCCCAACTTAGGAGTCTTGACAGAGTGCGCCTTCTTCCCAATTCCCTATGGTAGTTGTATATTGTGACTTCCCAATGACTTTCTAGCATAGGTGGCATTTTCCTTAAGTGAAGAAAGAAAAGCTGTGTTGTTGTTTTTCTGGAAGGGAAAACAGACCTGAAAAAGAACTAATGCTCAAAACATCCAAATACCCTCCAATGGAGAAGTTACGTGCAATTCCGAGCTTATCCTAATATACCAAATTCTTTAAATTAAGTATCCTGTTAAAACTGGGCAAAAAGCCTTTCAAGCTATCCCTTCTGTGAATCCTCCATCCTATAGTTGGGGGACGCTTCCATGGCTGCCCACCCTCTTGTGAGCCTGTTCTTGAACGCCCAAGACAAGGCAAACAATCAAGTTCTCAGAATTAAGCAAACTTACATTTTAATAGATGCAGCAAAGGAAGAATCTCTCTCTCTCTCTGCTTCCCACCTTTTATCTTTTATTCCTTCTCCCCATTCACGTTCAATTAGGTCAAGGCCACAGGTTCCCTATGTGATGCACTAGTGTTGAGGAAGAAAATCTCTGGAAGTAATCAATTACATCCCTAACACTGACTATGAAGAGTGCTACTACCTAATTAAAGAAGAAAGAAGCTGTAAAAACATACTTGGCTGGAGTGGTGTTTTTTGTTTTTTTAAAAAATCCAAATGCTTCAAACTACCGTATTTATATGTCGCTGCCTTGAAACCACATCAGCAAGATAATCTGTTTCTTTACCTCAGGACACTGAAAAAGGAACAGAGGTTCCCAAGATGCCTAATATGAGTGAGACACACGGTTTACAACTGCCACGCGTGAGTACAAACTCAAATGTTTTAAAAATGGGTCAGATAAATTTTTAGCATTCTATTTATTAAAATCATCCGCATTTGAAAGTATTTCTATATATCAGAAGTTCCATAAAAGTAGGGCTGTGGGAACTGTACTGAGGAAACCCAAGTCCCATGCCAAGAAAACATAAACTCTGTGGTGTCTATAAATCGGCATACATTTTCACCGTTCTGCTTGTTCAACCATGGGGAGTGTAGGCTGCAATCCTAAACCCACTTACCTAGGAGTAAGTCCAAATGAATTCAGTAGGATTTATTCGGCTTGGATTGTTCTCTTAAGGCACCAGTTATTTGTCTCCTGGTGACTACGCATTTGGCTCAGAGCTCTCCCTCCTATCTGCATAATTTTCAAGCTTATTTTCTCAGCTACGAAAGTCAAAAACCTTTCAGATTAAAAGGTGAGGTCCACCACATGTTTATTCCCAAACCTCTGCAGAATCATAAAGTACACACAGTCCCTGTCTAGAGTTCTTTTAACATACGTATTTTTGCCGGTTCCTTTCCGAGGTTTTGGGTGAATTCATTCTAAAAATACCTTGCAGCTTTGGAACAACAAACAGTTACTCTAACCTAATCTCTATCCTGCTGTCAGGAGAAACCCAAATAGTTCCATTCAAATGGTGATGCTAACAAGAATAGTTTTAAGAGGCCAACCACTTGAATACAGCAGGTTGCTAACTTTTTCTCCTGGCAGGGCTCTGAGGCCTTCAACAGAGGCAATTTCTCAGGACACACTTTTCCCATCACCGAATCTCCCTATTTAAAGTCTCAGGATGAATGAACAGAAGCCAAGCAAATCCTATTGCTCTGTTTGCTCCAGGATCTCAGTGTTCGCAAGCCAAGTTTAGTTACTGCAGGCCCTGCCCCTCTCCTCCAGTGTACAGCCCCATGCATTCCTTCTCCTTCTATAACACTGAGATGGGGAGGTATATATTAATCTGTTGTCTACTTCAGATTTGCAGATCTGCTAATGAGCTGGGTAGCAGAGGGCAATGCGTATATTTTATTTGTATTTATTTAGAGCATTGTGCACCGCTCTTCAGCCACAGAGTCTCCCAAAGTGGCTTAAATTAAAACGAGAGATTTTGGCAATTGATCTGGGACTGCCTGCTTGCCACAGGGCATTTAAAAAAAAAAAAAGGTCTAATCTGTAGCCAGCAGAGCTCAGAGCCCATAAATCGGTGGCAGTGCCCATGACTTGCGTGGAATAAAGTCCTGGGTTCAATCCCTACCACCTGCGATTTCAGGTAGCAAGCTTGAGAATGACTCCTGTCTGAGAGCTTGAGGAGCTGCAGCCAGCCAGATTGGGCATTACCAATGACCAGAGTTGGGGTTTTTTAAGCCACTTCTTATATCATTAACTGAGCAGGACCAGCTCATATTGTCTGGGTGCGATCAGGGGGAGGGGTGTGTGGCAAGAGCAGGAATGAAAAGCAGGTTACTGTCGGCAGTCCTGTCTTGTTTGACAGCCTGCTGGGTTTTGCACAAATGCCTAGGGATGTGGAGAAGATGGAGCCACCATTGCTCCAATTCAAGGAAGCTTACCTGCCCGTGCCATTATTATTGCTGCGCACCTCACACATACAATTCCCACCCCCCACAACCATTGGTCTTGTGGTGTCCTGACCATAGCTGTCAACGTTTCCCATTTTTAAAGGGAAATTCCTTTATTTCGAATAGGATTCCTTGCAAGAAAAGGGAAACGTTCCCCAGCCCCTGGCTTCATTTCCCCCCCTGTCAGCTGCATTCACTTCCAGCCCAGCCCAGCAACAATGTCTGGCGTTGAAGATGCCATTGTCCCTTTGGAGACGTACAAAGTAGACCACTGCATCCAGCTTCTCCCTCAAGGTAGCAGAGAGGAAATCCTATTTCCCTGCCGTCCCTTTCGCATCTAGCTAAAACACAGACAGGCCAGCTGCTTTAGACAGGTGTATTTGACTGCTGTACACAGAGCGTTCCACCTCGCCTCCGCTTCTTCCAAAGGTTGCCGTGACAGCAGGCCATTCAGCCGTGTGAAGCGGGAGAGGGTGAGGCGGATTCCTTGCGTCCTTTCTCCCCATCCACAAAATGCACACACTCCACCCCGCTTCCCAACATCTGTTCACAGGCCAAGCGGCAGGTGGCAATGGATAGCTGCTCTTGGAACCGGTTTTAGCCAGCACCAAAAGAAGGGGAACTATTTAACTAAAAAAAAAGAAATAAAAGCACAGTGAAAACCCTTCTGGGTAGCCTACGAGATCGTTCCTCCCTCTGGTGCAGCGGCGTAAGAGAGTGATGGTGAGCATCAGGAGCTGGGAGAAGGAATCAAACCGGATTCTGCCAGGCTCTCCAGTTCTTCTTTCTCTTGCTTGATCTCGCAGAGTTTGAACTCGCCGCCGGGCTGAGACTCCGCCGACTCGCCTCCTCTCGGGTTCTCTTTCGAATGGCACTTCTGGTGTTTCACCAACACCCCCCTCTGCCTGAACCTCCGCCCGCACTCCATGCAGCGGTAGGGCTTCTCCCCCGTGTGGATCCTCTGGTGCGTGATCAGGTCCGAGAGCCTGGTGAAGCGCCTCTCGCACTCGTCGCACGGGTAGGGCTTCTCTCCCGTGTGGATCTTTTGGTGCCTGGTGAGGTCGGAAGGGTAGGCGAACCTCCGGCCGCACACTTTGCAGGAGAAGGGCTTCTCCCCCGAGTGCGTCCGCTGGTGGGAGACGAGGTTGGAGTGCTGGATGAACCTCTTCCCGCACACGCTGCAGGCGTGGGGCTTCTCCCCCGTGTGGATCCTCCGGTGGGTGGTGAGGGAGGAAGAGGAGACGAAGCGTTTCCCGCAGTCGGCGCAGGCGTAGGGCTTCTGGCCCATGTGGTTCCGCTCGTGGATCTTCAGGGCCGACTGGTGGCTGAAGCATTTCTGGCAGTAGGAGCAGCGGTAGGGCTGCTCTCCCGAATGGCTTCTCTGGTGACTTACAAGGTACGCTCGCTGGCTGAAGGTGTCCCCGCACTCGGAGCAGATGTGGGGCTTCTCTCCCGAGTGGATTTTCTGGTGTCTCGTAAGGTGTGAGAGCTGGCTGAAGCTCTTCCCGCACTCGACGCACAGGTAGGGCTTTTCTCCTGTGTGGACGTTCAGGTGCTTGGCCAGGTCTGAGGGGCGGGTGAAGCTCTTGCCACATTCGATGCAGAGGTGGGATTTCTCTTTCCTTTGGGCTCCCTCCAGGGCTGCAGGTGCTGCCGCCTCTTCCTCTACGTCTTCCCTCCTCGATCCCTGGTGTTCAAATTGCTCCTTGGTTCTGCTGGCTGTGTTAGTGGTGCCTGGAGGGTGAGGAGGCAAATGACAATGGTGGGCCATTGCAAAGGTGGGAGGAAGATGGGGCCAAAAAAAACTAGGGCTGGATCTACACCGACCTTTTCAATGTTATTAGAACGATATTAGATACAGTGGTGCCTCGGGTTAAGAACTTAATTTGTCCTGGAGGTCTGTTCTTAACCTGGAACTGTTCTTAACCTGAGGTACCACTTTAGCTAATGGGGCCTCCCGCTGCTGCCATGCAATTTCAGTTCTCATCCTGAAGCAAAGTTCTTAACCCGAGGTACTATTTCTGGGTTAGTGGAGTCTGTAACCTGAAGCGTCTGTAACATGAAGCGTCTGTAACCCGAGGTACCACTGTATAGGGCTAGCCCAACGATTAGGGAAGGAGAAGTAGCAGCCTCTGAGGCATCTGTAACCTGAAGCATCTGTAACCTGAGGTACCACTGTATATCGTTCTAAAACGTCACAGGGCATACTTGTAAATTAAAAACATTCCTTTCCTTGTTTTCTCTGTAAAAATGCTGCTTCCCTACTGCTGGTTCCTGGTTGCTCTTCAGGACCCATTTTAATAGCACATTATGAATGTTAAAAGTAGAATGTAATGTGTCCTTCTAAGTTATGAAAACCATTCCTTAACTCTTCCGCCGAGACCACATAACACCGGTCCTGAAAGACCTACATTGGATCCCAATACATTTCCAAGCACAATTTGAAGTGTTGGTGCTGACCTTTAAAGCCCTAAACGGCCTCGGCCCAGGAAAACTGAAGGAGTGTCTCCACCCCCATCGTTCTGCCCGGACACTGAGGTCCAGCTCCGAGGGCCTTCTGGCGGTTCCCTCCCTGCGAGAAGTGAGGTTATAGGGAACCAGGCAGAGGGCCTTCTCGGTAGTGGCACCCGCCCTGTGGAACACCCTTCCATCAGATGTCAAGGAAATAAACAACTACCAGACTTTTAGAAGACATCTGAAGGCAGCCCTGTTTAGGGAAGTTTTTAATATTTGATGAATTATTGTATTTTAATACAGTGGCACCTCTGGTTACGTACTTAATTCGTTCCGGAGGTCCGTTCTTAACCTGAAACTGTTCTTAACCTGAAGCACCACTTTAGCTAATGGGGCCTCCTGCTGCCGCTGCGGCGCCGCTGTGCGGTTTCTGTTCTTATCCTGAAGCAAAGTTCTTAACCCGAGGTAATATTTCTGGGTTAGCGGAGTCTGTAACCTGAAGATTATGTAACCTGAAGCGTATGTAACCCGAGGCACCACTGAATTTTGCTGGAAGCCACCCAGAGTGGCTGGGGAAACCCATCCAGATGGGTAGGGTACAAATAATAAATTATTATTATTATTATTCCTTAACATTAAAAACCATGAGTGAAGATCCACCCTAGGAGTGGGATACATTTAACCAGCCCCACTTGCCCCTGTGACATGGTGTCAACTAATCTCCTTCCCCCATGCACCCCCTCTTCAAATTGGCTTAGGGAGGGTCCAGAGAATCTGCAGAACAGCATATTGAGGGAAAGCATATTGAGGAAAGGGGGTATCGTTCCGTCTGGAGAGCTGAAATGATTGTGCAGACAGAACAAATGGAGGAGAGGAGAATGGAATTCCACTCTAGGCGAAGAAGCACATTTTCAGTGGGCACCAAGAGCATGTAAGACTCAACACCAATTGTACCGGAGGGAGTCTTACCCACTAGGCAGGTGCCGCCGTTATCTTGCTTTCCTGACCTCCCTGCCAAGCTGCCTCTGCCTGGCATCCAGCGGAGCTCTCTGCGCTTCAGAAAAATCCACAGCCACCTCTCGGAACGGCTCGTGCCCCTGAAACAGCATTGAAAGTCCTGCTCACAAAGAGGCTGGCAGCCCAGCAGTAGAGGGTGTTCTTTGCACATATGAAAACCTCGATTCCTAGCATACCCATTCAATGGACCTGGGACAGCAGAGTTAAAAACAACCTGTGTGTGAGATCATGAAAAACGGGGTAGGAAACTTCCTGCCAGTCCAGATGGACAGGACCGGGTCAAATGCAGTAGGGCAGCGGTGAATTTTGAAGTGCAGGAACTCATCACGACAGCAGCCACAACCCCAGCCACATGACACCCCAGCCGTGGCATTTGGTTTCATGCAGAAAGAGAAAAAGAGAGGTGGAGACAGAGAAAGAAACTGTGGTTCTCAAAGGGTGTGGCAAGAGAGGCTGGCAAGTGTGGTGGAAAGATTCAAGGACAATCTAAGAAACATTTAAACATTTCAGTGTAGTAAATAGTATAGTATCAAAATATTTTTTTTGCCAAATATGCACAGATATCTTTTCAAAAGCACCAAGCGATACCGCAAGCTCACACCTCTCGTTGAGTTTGTTTACCTACTTAAGGTACATATGTAACATGGTCATTTATAATTACATTTTGGGAATGATCCACGTTCTTACATGGCTGCATTGTTTTATACTTCCTGGATGTCCCATGGTCATCTTACAAAGATCATCATCTTCGTGTGGCTCCTCCTCGAGAGGTCCAGAGAGTGGCAACACGAGAACGGGCCTTCTCTGCAGTGGCTCCCCGTCTGTGGAACGCTCTCCCCAGAGAAGTTCGCCTGGCTCCTTCATTATACAGTGGTACCTCAGGTTAAGTACTTAATTCATTCCAGAGGTCTGTTCTTAACCTGAAACTGTTCTTAACCTGAAGCACCACTTTAGCTAATGGGGCCTCCTGCTGCTGTTGCGCCGCCGCTGCACAATTTCTGTTCTCATCCTGAAGCACTATTTCTGGGTTAGCGGAGTCTGTAACCTGAAGCGTATGTAACCTGAGGTACCACTGTACACCTTTAGGCGCCAGGCAAAAACATTCCTTTTTAACCAGGCCTTTGGTTGATCTGTTTGACATCCTATACCCTTTTCAAATGTTATTGAGGGGGGGGAGCTATTGAGTTGTTGTTTTTATATACAGTGGTACCTCGAGTTAAGAACTTAATTCGTTCTGGAGGTCTGTTATTAACCTGAAACTGTTCTTAACCTGAAGCACCACTTTAGCTAATGGGGCCTCCCGCTGCTGCTGCTGCTGCTGCCGCTGCACTGCCGGAGCACAATTTCTGTTCTCATCTTGAAGCAAAGTTCTTAACCCAAGGTAATATTTCTGGGTTAGCGGAATCTGTAATCTGAAGCATCTGTAACCTGAAGTGTCTGTAACCCGAGGTACCACTGTATGTATTCTGTGATTTTATATCTCGATTTTATTCTGTGAACCGCCCCGAGACCCCCAGGTATAGGGTGGTATATAAATTCAATAAATAATAATAGTTGTGTTCTATGTTATATATTGACATAGAACACAACTATTATTATTTATTGAATAGTTGTGTTCTATGTTATATATTGGGACGCGGGTGGCACTGTGGGTTAAACCACAGAGCCTAGGGCTTGCCAATCAGAAGGTCAGCGGTTCGAATCCCTGCAACGGGGTGAGCTCCCATTGGTCAGTCCCTGCTCCTGCCAACCTAGCAGTTCGAAAGCACGTCAAAGTGCAAGTAGATAAATAGGTACCGCTCTGGCGGGAAGGTAAACGGCGTTTCCGTGCGCTGCTCTGGTTCGCCAGAAGCGGCTTAGTCATGCTGGCCACATGACCCGGAAGCTGTACGCTGGCTCCCTCGGCCAATAAAGCAAGATGAGCGCCGCAACCCCAGAGTCGGCCACGACTGGACCTAATGGTCAGGCGTCCCTTTACCTTCACCTTTATGTTATATATTGAGTGCTGCTAGGAGATCCTGTTTTCCAACCTGTAAAAAATCTGGTGGTGGCACGAGCAAGGTTTTATTCTAAAAGTGTGGCCAGAGAAAAAAGTTTGAGAACCACTGGCCTGCACTTTTTACCCCGTTTCTGCCTTTGCTGCTTCCCTCACCTGTTCTTCCTGCTGCCTCAGAATGAAGCCTTCCGCCAGGGCCACTGCTTGGGCGCAGGTCTCTGGGCTCCGATCCCGGACCTGACTTTGGATTTCCTGAGGCAGGATGGTCAGGAACTGCTCCAGGATCAGCAGCTCCACAATCTGCTCCTTCGTACGGCTCTCCGGCTCCAGCCAGCAGTGGCAGAGCTCCCTCAGCCGGCCGCAAACCTCCCGAGGCCCCTCAGCCTCCTGGTAGCAGAACTGCCGGAAGCGCTGGCGATGGATCTCCGTGCCGGTGGAGTTCCCTTGCAGGAAGGCGGCCTTCACCTTCCCGTAGTCCATCTTGTCTCTGGAGGCCTTCAGCGCCTGGTGGGCTTCCGCGCTGAAGGCCGGCACCAGCCGGGTCAGAGCATCTCCCCTGGGCCACTGGCAGGCGCCAAAGACCCTCTCAAAAGCAACCAGGTCGTCCCAGGAGGTCAGCTCTGGCAACGGCGGGTTCCCCCATCTTGCGTGAGGGGACTGCATGCTCTTCAGGAAATCCTGCCACTGGGTGTTCAAGTGCTGAGGTATGCTGCCCTCCTGGCGTGGCACTGCCCAGCAAGGTAGCTCCCGAATGGCTCCCGGACGGATGGCAAAGCTCTCTCTTCCTGCTCCGTCCAAGCTCTCTGCTGGCCTTGGGCCTGCCGGGTCCTGTTTCTCCATTTTCCCTACTGGCCTCGTCGTCTTGTCAAACCTTTCCTGAACCCGGAGACCCACGGCTGCCGCATCCCGCGACTATTCAGCCATTTTATCTTTCTGGAGACGGATTTATCCCCACCCTCTCAGCTGCCCACCGCTTCACCTACTCTCACACTTGGAATCCTCTCCTACTCTTATTTATTTTTTCCTGTTTTCTGCACCATATACCCTTGTGAAGGTATATGATACCCTACTGACAGTGCTTGTGAGTTTGAACAGCAGGGTCGCGGACAAGGCCCGAGTTCTTGTTCAGATACTTGGAGCTTGTTCCTGAGAAAGAAAGAGAGGGAAAAAATAATTAAAATTAATCTGGGGGTTCCCTCATTGCGAGAAGAGAGGTTACAGAGAACCGGGTAGAGGGCCCTTTTAGATAGTGGAACGCCCTCCCAGAAGATGTCAAACACTTAAATAGCTATGTGGTTTTTAAAAAGACGTCGGAAGGCAGCCCTATTCATGAAAGGGTTTTTTGTGTGATGTTGTATTGTGTTTTTACTGTTTTTTTTGTTGGGAGCCGCCCAGAGTGGCTGGAGCAACCCAGTAAATGGGTGGCTTCTTCTTCTTCTTCTTCTTATCATTATTATTAACAATTGTGGCTCACATATGTCCTCCAGGTTGCTTAGGACAGTGTACCTAGGGCTGTTTGTTTCTGTCCCTGCCCTAAAAGAATCCTGCAATATGAAGTTAGCCTGAGAAATAACAACCAGTGGTTTCTCTTGACAGACTGGCTGGCAGAAGGGGAAGATATTTTGAACATAGTAGAATTGAGGGCCTAAATCAGGGGTTGTCTAGGTGTTGTTGGACTGCAACTTCCATCATCCCTCGCCATGCCTAAAAGCCCTGCTCTGCCGCAGCTCTGTGACACAGAGCATTTTGCTTGCAGAAGACCCCCAGATTCAGTCGCCAGATAAAAGGATGATGGAGCAAGGCCATGAGAACGACTTCCTTCTGCCTGAGGCCCTGGAGAGCTGCTGCCAGTCAGAGCAAGCAATACTGGCTTAGATGGACAAATAGGCAGCTTCCTGCATTCACACAGGTATTATTTAATAATTCTTTCACAGGTTAAGCAGAATTCTGGCACTTAAAACACATTTCAAAGCTGAAGTTGTGGTGTGTTCCAGGTTTGTATGAAGCCTAGCTTGGGTGTGAGGCTTCATACACAACCTATGTTTAAAGCATTCCCCCTCCTCAGGAAAGGACCCTGGGAACTGTAGCTTATAGACCCTCCAAGTGTCCCCATTTTTCAGGGACCGTCCCGGATTTACAGAAGCCGTCCCAGTTTCTGATTTGATCCTGGAATGTCCTACTTTTCCTTAGGATGTTCCTATTTTCATTGGAAAAAATGTTGGAAGGTATGGTAGGACATCCTTATTTTCATCAGAGAAATGTTGGAGGGTACGAGCTTAAACCCTCACAGAACGACAATTCCCAGCATCCTTAACAAACTACAGTACCTAGGGTTTGGCGTGTTGTTGCTAATGTGCTTTAAATGGATGGTGTGTCTGCAGCCTGAGTCTTTGAAGGGGAAACTTGGGTAAAAAATGATATGGTAGCAGAAATCTTTTGATAAGACTTGAAGCTCCCCCTCTTTCTTTTTCTTTCTTTCTTTCTTTCTTTCTTTCTTTCTTTCTTTCTGTCTTTCTTTCTTTCTTTCTTTCTTTCAGAATTTGGTTCATTGATGTTGGGAAATCAATTCTTAAAGAGGCTTGATTGTGCTAACTAATTGTTATGAGGCAATCTGTTGGATTTATTTTTATATACAAAAAATACATGTTATTCTCTGGGAGCAACACATGGCATCAAGTGTCTGCCAAATTCATGCGCAGATGGACATCTTTGCTACCCAGTTTATTACAACTACACACATGTGGTGAAATCATTCTTAATGTTTTCACTCAGCCTCCGAGAGTCACGTAGATATACCCAATTCCCTGGATGGTTGTGCTGGGACACAGTTTATCCCTCTCCCATCCAGGGATCAAGGGGTGCTGCCTGAATTATTTCTGTCGCAGGGCGGCTGTTTTTAGTTCTTATGAGACGCAGAGTAGCCCAGAGGGTAGGAATGGAGCAGAAGGGGGGAAAACAGAGGTGTTATTGTCTCAGGGACCAAAAGCAGGCTCAGCATGCAGATTCCTTAATCGGCTCAGGAGTTAAATACGTTTCTGCAGAGCTCGCCCTCCCCACCACCATCAGGCAGCGGTGTCCACTGGGGCTCCCCCTTCCCAATTCAAAAACAAACCCCACTCTCCACCTCAAAGTCCTGCAAGCAGCTTGCCCTACTAGCGCGTGAGAATGGGGTGTGCACGGATCCTACTGCCCCTCCCTGGCCCACCCCAATTAAACTAGCAAAAGTCTGCTGGGACTCTCTTCCTTCAGTGAGTGGCTGGAAATGGGGAGTCCTAAAGAAAGGGGTGTTTCGTAAGCAAAGCGCGCGCGGGGGGGGGTCGGATCTGGTGTAAGAAACCCCATTTTGGGGGAATCCTGCCTTTCCCGTTGGAGGGAGTTTCCCCTGAATGCAACCATTCAGCAGAAAGAAGGTTCCTTCCGTTCCCTCCCACTCGGCGAACAAGCGAGCAAAACACAAAACTCCGGATTGTCTCCTTTTGTGTCTCTCTCTTTTCTTTTCTTTTTTACGGAATTAAGTTAACCCCACCATGGCTCCCCTCCCCCCCCTCCCGCCCCGCCTCCCCTCCCCACTTTTTTATTATTAGTAGTAGCAGCAACAGCAGCATTGCATTTAAGGCATGGCATCCATGAAGCCTGGCTGCTTGGGACTCGGTGCAGCCGGTTGGGGGCGGACGCCTCGACCCTGGACAAAGGGAGAGAGAGAGAGAAGCAGCTCCATGGAGCAGGCCCCACAGAAGCGCATCCCCCCCCCCCAATGCTTGCACAGACCACGGCCGTCGTTTCCCAACTCCACAAAGAAGAGGCGAGACGAGTGTGTGTGTGCGTGTCCCGTCCCCCCCGCTCCTGCAAAGCTTTCCACGCAGATCTGCAGAGATCCGTGGAAAGGAATTAGCCCCCCTCCGGCTGCCTCCTTTGCCAGCCTTCCCCTCCCCCCCCAACCCGGATTTTGCTCTTCGGCTCCGCCTGATTCACCCCCCCCCCCATTTTCTCCCTCCCTTGCAGCCGCATCGGCTCTTCCCCCTCTGCCCAGATGCCCCTGAAACTCACCGCTCCCCACAGCTCTTTTCCTCCGCGCGGACCCCTGAGGATCTCGAGCCCTGCAGACACAATCCCACCCCCCCCTTGCACACCCCTTAATAAAATTCAAATCCCGAGGTTTTTTAATCCAGGGCGGAGCAGGATGGCGCCTGGGCTATTGCATCTCTCCCCCCCCCCCGCCGCCTCTCGGCTTCCTGGGCCTCTCCAGGGCTTAGCTCTCACTCAATAGGACTAAGCCGGCTTAAATCCAAGGGCTCCTGTTTAACTGGTTTGAGGATCGGGCTGCCAGTCAATTTAACTCTTGACGCGTCTCGGCCTTAGAGGGGTGTTTGCGTTTATGAGGTGTTTGGAGCAGTTGAGTTTTGACTTTTCTCTCTTGGCAAAGGCGAAGTTCCCTGGCACTGCAGAAATCGAGATCGTGGGGCTTGCAAGGTTTAAAGTCGTTTGGTTCCAGTTGCGCCCTCCCAAAAAACAACACCACCCCACCAATGGTCTCTTTTCTGGCGCTACCTTAACGGAAAGAGGCGCCGTGTTCCCTTCCTGCACTGCACAGCGTTTCAACAACAATAAATCACGCACCGTGCCGTGCCTGTTTCCACAGCCATTCCAAAAGTAACAGAATCAGTTGAGATTACCAGTTGCTCTTCCGAGGTTGTTGAGCAACGGATTTTCAACGCAGTCGCATCTTCTGACATCTGTGGCTGAGCGTGCTGCTCTCGAGACCTGCTTTAAATTTCTCCACGTGGAAATGGGGATACAGTAGCTGGAATCGAGGGTGTTTTCAGCCTCCCCAGGACAATCTGTAAGTGGTCTGAAAGTGGCCACCAAGGGAGGCTTGCAATCTTAAAAGGGGTTTCAGTACTGTCACTTGTTTGTTGACTCAAAACCATAAATTTTAAATACACTGTAAGTCCTAACTAGCTTACCGACAGGCTGTGATGCTGCTCTGGAAATAATGTTTTAGGGAGTGATCAGACTTTATAGAGATGACAAGGATGGCAATCTATGGTGTGTAGAGGATGGAAATCACACATTTTAGGGAAACATCAGCATTGGCTTTCTGTTACTTTAAGAGGGGAATTCAGGGTCTGAATGACCTGAAAACGTTCAAAGCTGCTTGGAATCCCCCCCTTGTATACCTTAGCTAATCTCTCTTCTTTTCTTAAAATGCTACCCCTCAAGCTAGGATCAACTGAAAATGCCATCTTAATGATTCTGTGTTGATTTGCAAAAAATTTATCACAGGCACAGGAAGCTGTTCCCACCTCCTCTGTTTGGCTGCTCCACAACTGTAGGATTTCCTTTCCTGAGAGATTCACCAAAGTTTGAACCAGTATATTTTGAAGGACGAATTGTAAGACCTTAACTGGATTATCTTAAATATGGAGCACTAAAAACCAGAGATATAGTTTATTAAATGTGTACCTAATTTTACTTTTCCTGGCCTTGTTCTATTGATATTCTAGAACTAGGTCTCAAACACATGCAGATGGTTTGGTTTATCATCAGTGACAATGTAATCTTAAACATGTCTGCTTAGAAATATGTGAGACTGACTCCCAGTGATGCATTTTTACATATACACAACAAACACGTACCTGGGAGTTGGTCCCATTGAACTCAATGGTGCTTGCTTATGAGTGGACACATATAGGACTGAGTTGTTAACGTATTGATAATTTATGCCTTGGAGCCAAACAAAGACATGAAATGAATCTATTGAAAGTGTTGTATCAGAGGTGATGTAAGGTTCTGTTTATGGCGTTGGGTCTGTGAGGGTTTCGTTCATTCAGGTTATCAAGCGATGAATATACATTAGTCAACTAGCCCTTACTTGAGTTGCTCACCTGAAACCAAGATGGAACAGGTCAGAAACATAAATCATTGCACATGAAACTAAATAACTAGCCATCACCAAGTATGTCCATGTTCTAAGTAATGCATCCTTGCCCTATAAAACAAATATAAAATCATACCCTTTCATGCATAAAGCTACCACCTAAAAACTCAAGTTTATAGGCCATATTCTCAAATGCTTGTTGTTTTACTATAGGTACAGATTGATGGTGTATACGGAATTTGTCCCTGATACTGAACTGGTTGTTCATGTTTTACACCGTGTCATCTTTGGGACTAGCCACCCCTGATTCTGACTTTCCTTGCATATTCTGTTTCTGACATTTTGGGGTCAATATATTTTGCAAAATAAAAACAAGTAGATGTGGTAGTTACATGTGAAAACAAAACAAAATTGTATGTGATATGTGTGCATATTTTATGGGGCAAAAGGAAATATTTTTGAAGCTAATTTCAGAAATGATTTGAGACATGCCACTGAGCCACAAATAAATTTTATTTAAAATTATTTTATTTATTCTATTTGTAGGGAATGGTTCAGTTATTGCGATAACTCCGAACCCTTCTGATGATCTTCTTGTGCATGTGACACAGAGCCAGTGTAACTATTCTCGTCTGCTAAATGATTATAACTGTGTCTGACACATCTGCAGTGTCATCTAAAGTCAGGAAGACTCATCCCTTGATGTTGTCTATGTTAAATCTTATTGTGGTAACTTACAATCATATATAAAGCAACATAGGTTGTTCTAGTGTAAGAACCACACAGCCATTAAATCTCTGAGTCGTCATGTCTGCATTCACTCTCAGCAACCACATAATGTTGGAACTATATTTGTCAGAGATAAGATTTTGCCACTGCAATACCATTTACATATACTGTTGTTACCAGTAGCCAACATGTGGTGTAGCCAACAAGACTATCCTGCATGCTTGTAAACTCATGTCACCACTGCAGTTTGTACACCTAGATCCTATGCACTGATTTCCTGAAGTCTAGTAAGTTTTTGAACAGTTTTCCTAGGAGCATGGGAAGACAGCTTCCCATCTTGTTCTGAAAGACAGCCTGTCTGCAAGAGCCTTGTGTTCAAGCCCTGGACTGCCAACCATTAACCTGGGGTGGTTACATAGGCGCCGACTCCATGGGGCTTGAGGGGGCCCGAGCCCCCTCAAAAATTCGTTTGGGGGGGCTCCGCCCCCCCAATAATCTCCGGCGCCCCTCCAGCAGAGCGCCATCGCCGCCCCTCCCCCAGCCCAAAATGCACAGGGAGGGGCGGGCTGCATGCCTCCTGCCCTCCCTTCCGAGCAAAAGCTCCACCCAATTTCCTTTGGAGCTGATTAATAGGCGCAGCACGCTCTCCCCTATTCGCTCACGAGGAGGCGGCGCCACTTTATTTGCATATTCATGAGCTTATTTATTATTCATGAGCTTTCCCGGGCCCCCCCAATATTTTTTATAAGTCCGCGTCCCTGGGTGGTTAAATTTTTTTTTGGGGGGGGCAAGGGTTGCACTGACACATGAATCATGATCAACCCTCCAGGGGCTGCATATCAAAGTGGGCATGGCCAAAGTGTAAAAATGGGTGCAGCAATAACAGCAGTTCTCAAGGCTGCCTTTCAGAGGACTTTCTGGTCAGTTGTTCCACGCTATTTTCAATCATTTAAATTTTGAAAAGGTTTTGTTGTTGCTGTTAAAGGACAAATTTCCAGGGGGTCTTGCAGGCACAGAAATATTTTTGGCACTACAGTCATACCTCTTGTTACATTAGGTTCAGGTTACGTTCTTTCAGGATATGTACTGCAGCGACCTGGAAGTAACGGAACGAGTTACTTCTGGTTTTTGCCACTCGTGCATACGCAGACGCACAACATGACATCACACGCATGTGCAGAAGTGGCGAATCGCGATCCGTGCATGCACAGACACGGGTTGCGCTCTGCTCAGGTTGCGAACGGGGCTCCGGAATGGATCCCGTTCGCAACCAGAGGTACCACTGTACAGTGGAGTGCCTATAGGAGTAGTCAGCAATCCCCCACCCCCAGCAATGATCAAGGATGATGGAAGTTGTAATGTAACATCTGGAGGGCATCACGTTGGCTATCATTGCTTTAGACATACACCCAACAGGTCTAGCCTAGCAATCTATGCCCATGGCCAGATTTTGGTTTTTCAAATTTCAGCAGTGCTGAGGTCAAAATTCTGCACCCCCTGCCTCTCGCCTTTTCTGCATGTGCACATCATAGTTTCAATGTCCTGCGGTGCCCCTCTTGACTCGGTGCCCAGCGTGGGGGAAAACCGTTGTGCTGCCCTAAATCTGTCTCTGCCATGGCACACGCCTTAGAACTGTCTCCACCAAAACATACTGTGAGCAAACCATTTTCCTCAGCATCATTCTAGAAGACTGCAGTCAGCCTGGAAGCACAGCCAGTGTACTTGGCTAACAGGTAGCACCTTTGATTACACAAAATTAGGTGGCCTCAGTTATGGGTGTAGCCAGGATTTATGTTGGGGGAGGGCAGAACCGAGTTATCTGTGATGTGATTGGTCAGTGAAGTATTTGTTGTAAACAACAACTGCTCCCTTTCCCTTATGGAAAGAGCCCTTATAGAGTCATTTCTAGGTACTCCATCGGTAGGAGAAAATAACAAAGGCCAACCAGAGAATATTGAGAAGCAAAGCAGCTAGTAAGCCTGATCTTTATTAAAGATGTTGCAACAGGGTGCTCCCCCACACACGGGGGGACGACGACCCAGTACAAAGGTGTGCAAGCCCTTATATAGACTTTTGAACTGCCCACCCTGTAGCTCAAGACCACCCCTCCATACATCATACATACATCACAGAAGTGGTCATATGTCATAGGTCATATGTACATCAGAGAAGGGGCAAACCACAACAGAAATCAGTGAGTTGTTTTTATCCTGTCTGCCAGGTTACCTGAATGGATTACCTGGGCATCCTGGCCACTCTCTTGTTATGATAACTATTCAGTTATTGAATACAGGTCACAGGTTCACCCTATTCATATCTTAACTGTGCCCTTGAGACAGGCTTTGTGAGCAAAGAGACAATGGGGAGGCTCCCCATTTCCTTCAACCTTGCAGAGAAATATTTGAGGTCATTTTGGGAGAGAGAAAATGGTTTCAGGACTTTTCTGTGGGTTTCAGACATGTGGTTTACATATATGTGTTTACTTGGTACATTTATGAACATCTATTTTATATACATGTATATAAGACCTTTTTATATACATGTATATAAGACCTTAGGGACGCGGGTGGCACTGTGGGTAAAACCTCAGCGCCTAGGACTTGCCGATCGCATGGTCGGTGGTTCGAATCCCCGCGGCGGGGTGCGCTCCCGTCGTTCGGTCCCAGCGCCTGCCAACCTAGCAGTTCGAAAGCACCCCCGGGTGCAAGTAGATAAATAGGGACCGCTTACTGGCGGGAAGGTAAACGGCGTTCCGTGTGCTGCGCTGGCTCTCCAGATGCAGCTTGTCACGCTGGCCACGTGACCCGGAAGTGTCTGGGGACAGCGCTGGCTCCCGGCCTATAGAGTGAGATGAGCGCACAACCCTAGAGTCTGGCAAGACTGGCCCCTACGGGCAGGGGTACCTTTACCTTTACATATAAGACCTTACAATTCTTATAACATATTTTTATTTATTTACTTGATTTAGGGGAGGCAGCTGGCTACGCCCATGGTTTCAGAAAAAAAGAATAGTATTGTTGCTACAAGTCTTCAGCACAATAAAGCCACAATAATGAAGTCACTAAAATAGTTGAAATGTAAGCAGAAAACAAAACAAAAAAAACTGGCTAGGCCCTGTTTTTCGCATGACGACATCATGACCATGTGCTTCGCGGAAGAGAGAAGACTGTTGCGTCTTCCTGCACGCGCTACCTTGCAAGACGAGAAAGAGGAAAGAACTACAACTCCCGGCATGCATCTTTGCAGCTGAAACAAGAACGTTCGCCCTTACACCTCTTCCGATGCATCCTGGGAAACATCCGGGCTTTTGACAAACCACTTCTTCCTTTTTTGAAAAATCATTCCGCAGACGAGGGAAAGGGAATATAATCCCATTTTTAAAAAAGGCTCAGAGTCGGGACTGAGCGAGGGAAAGCCCAACATCATTGCTTTCTCTGTCCCTAGGACGAAACACACTGGTGGGTTACCTCCCCCCGCCCCCTTAACCCGTTCTTCGAAAACCTCTTTTTTCACCGTGGGCGGAAATGAGGTGAAGCGTTTCCGCCTCGCGGAGGGATAGCTATATAAGGATCGCAGGGCGGCCGCCGGATCCTCTTTCGCCTCTTCTTGAGCGCCGAAATGGTGGGTAGAGTTGCGCGTGTGGCTCCGCGGGGCCGGAGAAAGGGGAATGGAGGCCAAAGCCCTGAGTTTGAGAGGGCGGGAGCGGGAAGAGCGAAATAGCTAGGAATTTGAATGGGTTTGGTGGTGGAGCTGCCATCCTGTTCCCCTTTAACGGCTTGGAGTTAACGGCTCCGGGTCACCGTCTCGGCCCTCAAACACCCCCCACCTCAACATTCCTCAAGTATCCCCCCCCTTTCGGGCTCCAGTTGGTACAGCCCGTCTCCCCTCTTTTTCCTGCTCCCTTGGCGCCGGCTTCCCTCTCGGGACTCCTCTGGGCCTCGTGACGGGCCCGTCCTCCGTACGCATGATTGACTGCAGGGCAGCCCGCCTCCTTCTAGCTTGCAGGGAGGGGAGCAGCTTGAATAAAATACAGTGGTACCTCTTAACCTGAAACTGTTCTTAACCTGAAGCACCACTTTAGCTAATGGGGCCTCCTCTTGCTGCTGCTGCGCCGCCGGAGCACAATTTCTGTTTTCATCTTGAAGCAAAGTTCTTAACCTGAAGCACTATTTATGGGTTAGCGGAGTCTGTAACCTGAAGTGTATGTAATCTGAAGCGTATGTAACCCGAGGTACCACTGTATTGGGTGGGGTGGGGGGCAGGTAAGCCCCGCCCCAAATAATCGAGCACATTGACGCAATGCATGCACACCTTTTGAATGGCAATGGCCATCAACTTTGGGGGGGCTCGGACCGCTCAAAAATTTAATGGGGGGAGCCGAAAAGCCCCCCAGGAGTTGGCTCCTGTGCTCGCTAGGGAGTTTCTGGGTTTATCATGTTTTTAATATTCTGTTGGGAGCCACCCAGAGTGGCTGGGGAAACCCAGCTAGATGGGCAGGGTATAAATAATAGATGATGATGATGATGAATGTTCCCCCGGGAACATGAGGATTCCCCTCCTTTCCATGAAGAGCAAGAGACAGGATTGGTGCTTGAAAACATTCACATTCTGCCCCGGCTGCCTCTTGTTCAGATCTCTCAGACTTGGGCTCGCAAACTGAAAGATTTAATACTGAACTGAAAAGGCGCGATTTAAAGAATGTAAAAGGGGGCAGGAGATGTCACTGGTGCCTGGGAGAGACAGGACCAATGGTCAGGGATGATGGGAATTGTAGTCCCAAAACATCTGGAGGGCCGAGTTTGCCTATGCCTGTTTTATTTGCTGCAAAGTTTCTTTGTCTATCTCTGGAGCTGATGCTTAGCAGAGATGCCCATGTGAGAGGTATTTCGAATATACTGCTTGGTATTGAGCAGTGCTTTTCCTGTGTTCTGTAGTGCTATGTTGGTTCTCCAGTACCTTAATATTTATAAATTTCTGTCCCTTTAAACAGACCAAGAAGAGAAGGAATAACGGCCGTGCCAAGAAGGGCCGGGGTCATGTCCAGCCTATTCGCTGTACCAATTGTGCCCGCTGCGTCCCAAAGGACAAGGCCATTAAGAAGTTTGTCATCCGAAACATAGTAGAAGCAGCCGCAGTCCGAGATATCTCGGAAGCAAGTGTGTTTGACTGTAAGTATCTTATGTCTCCATGCACTACTTCTGATTTACCAGTATTCATAAAGTTTGAGAAGGGTGGAATGAAGACGGATTTCTTTGTGTAAAAACAGAAATCAAATCCCATTATGACTCTTAATTGAAGTGTGTTATATGCTTAGTCTGCTTTGTTCTGTCAGAATAAACATGAGACATACTTCTCTTTAAAGTTTTAAGCTCCTGAATATTTTCCTTTTAAAATACTATTTTATATGCTGGTTTTCCTTTGGAAAATTCAGAGCCCATTAATGAGCTTAACCGGCAGTACTCCATCCATTGGAAGACTTCGGAAGCTTTTCATGGGTGCTATATAAGAACTGGGTTTTGCCTTTCTGTAATGCAAACGTTGCATGCCTGTGTACTTAGCTCTGTTGCTTCTTCCTTTCTCTCCAGCATATGTGCTGCCCAAACTCTATGTGAAGCTTCACTATTGTGTTAGCTGTGCCATCCACAGCAAGGTGGTGAGGAACCGTTCCCGTGAGGCCCGGAAGGACCGTACCCCTCCACCCCGGTTCAGGCCTGCTGTAAGTGTATTGTCTTAAAGCTGTTCTTAAAGTTATGCACTTCAAAACCTCCTAGCTGGTGAGGCACCATCAGCATTGAAATGCCCCTTTGCACTAAGATATTGCATTATTATGTAACAAAATGTCCCCAGCATAAAAATTGAGCACTTTCCTTCCTGTGATCCCCTGTTTTAAAAAAAACATAGGGTTTTTGTGTGTCTGCTTTTTCTGAGGTTCTTGATCTATGCCCTTTTATAACAGCTGGCATCCTTTCCCAGTTTTTTTGTAGGAAGCCTTGTGTGTGGCTTACAGTAGAGATTTGCACAGTTTGTATTGAGTGCCAATGAAAAGTTACATGGGGAAGAGGTTGGAAATAATACGGAATACAGGCACCAGAATGTTGCAGGAATAATTGCATCTCCGGGTTCTTACTGAACCTTATAGTGGTTCTCAACCTGTGGGTCCCCAGATGTTGTTGGACTACAACTCCCTTCATCCCTGAGCTCTGCCCTTCTTAGCGGTGATGGGAGTTGTAGTTCAACAACATCTGGGGACCCACAGGTTGAGAAAGGCTGTTATACAGCCACAGTCTGCCCCGGGAGGCAGCTGCACTGCAACTCCTACCGTGCCACCTGTGTACATGGTGATGTATAGTGACATAAGCCAGGATTCATTAAAATGCCTAATCTCAAAGTTGAAGATGACGCCAAAAGGGCAAGGCCAGCTCCCCAGACTGCTTCCCTTGCATTGTTCATTTGTTGCAACTCACCTGTATCAAATTGGTCTTGTGATGGCAATTGAGTATTGTCGCTATTTAAATAACTGTGTCAAAATTAAATGACTGTCCCCTAACACAACCTTTCTTTTTTCCCCCCCAGGGTGCTGCACCAAGACCACCCCCTAAGCCTATGTAAAGAGATGGTTTGAATGATGCCAGTTTCTACTATTGACACAATAAATTTACAGCTGGTCTTTATGTGTTATTGGTCTAGAGTGTTGTTTTTAATGGGCTGGACTTTAAGGGGTGGATGTCTTGTTGTTAGCTGTTATTTAGGCATACTGACTGTGGAACTTGGAAATCTGTATGTTTAGATGTAGAGTGCAATTTGTATTGGTAGTCCTCACGTTTGTGGGCAGGACTGAAGTAATGGGAAATGTGCTCAATGTTTAGAAGCCAAGAGTGCAATGTGACGTATTTTCACTGGTGAGAACATTCCTTGATCCCCCTCCTCCTCATCATTTGTGGGTGACCTTCTTGGGGAGTTTCCAGGAAGATTCCCTCCGTGCAAATTAGGGTTCAGAAAAAGATAAAACACGTTTTTTCAAGCTAATTGCTGGTGGGTGGAAAGAGACTGGCTGCATGGCAGTGGGGCGGGGTGTACTTGCCTCTGTGATAGTGTGTGTGTGTGTAGCTCAGAACAGTTTCTTGTGTTTCCAAATTTGCCCACAGCCACAAAATGGTTAACAAGAGCTGAACAAACTGAATAGGTTTGGTGGAGGGCAACAAAGATGTGGTCAGCTATATTGGAAAAAGGTTCTATGAGGTAAGGAACTGGGTGGGTGTGGGTGTAAGCAGATAGTACTCATCAGGCACTTTAACGACTTTCATAGAAGCTAGCAAAGACTTGTTACTTTGTGCACCACTAAATGTAGTGGTGTATCTTCAAGCAGAGGCTGGCCACATGCGTATTGTGGATGCTTTTAGTTTCAGATTTCATAGATCAAGCGGTGGATTGGATCAGTTGATGCACAAAGCACTTCCAACTTCGTTTCTACTCAGTTTGCACTTGTGTGGGCTTGCACACTGGAAATGAACTCTTGGTGTGTCCTCACACTGACCAGTAACTACTTCTGGAAGTAGCTAGGGCCTGGTAGAAGCATGTACATTGTGTTCCTTTTTTATGCTTCTCAGATATAGCTGTATTATAACAGCTTTTGGAGGATTCAAACTTGCCCACCTCTAATACAAAAAGTTTACTTGATCACATTCATACTTGGGCTGAGTGGAATTCCACTCATGTAACACTCCACTGGAGTTAAGCAGGGTTTTTCCTTCTTTTGACAGTTCCTTAAAAAGCTGCTTTGGCTCGGGGGGGGGTGTTGAGGGATCTTTCTGAACAGCGAGGTGATGCTGAAGGCTATAGAGGAAAGAGGAATACAGGAAAAACAACTCTACTGCTTCGTCTAGCAGAAGTCTCCCCTTGATCAAAGCTATTTCAGCAAATAGAAGGAGCCCTTTTTAGCAGAAGGAAGAGTAAATCCAACCCAGTATAAAGAAAAGAACATTTAGGCCGCAAACCTAAACCTGCTTACCTGGGAGTAAGCTTCGTTGAACTTGAAGGCTTTCCTAAATATGAATTATTTTGCTAGTTTTTGATGTGCTTTACAAAGTCACCATAGTCCTTAAGTGGAAGTGGAAGTACTACTTCTAATTGGATGTTTGTCAAACTAATGCCCGGTGCAAGTGCACTGTAGGTGAATCATGCCTGCCCATGGCAGTCTGGAGCAAGGCCTCTTACCTTGCACTTCAGCATTGCTTGTTTACATCATGAATCTAATTGAAGGTTTCTCTTGGAAGACCAATTTGCCTTGCAAAAATAAGGGTGGACATGGTCTGGGTTACATTCTTTGTTTATGATGTGGCTTGTATATATACATGACAACATGATCCAATCTGGGTCATAATTCTTGTGTTTGGCCTTGACCCCCTCTGCATTCATTGAGCCTAGCAGAACCTTTGTTTAATCCACAACCACCAGAATGTGGATCTCTAGGTAAGAACTCCCACTATGACTGGTGAAAGTACTGCAAGGTAGTACTGTGTTTAAGATGGTTTGGAAACCATTCTCCAAGCCACACACATGTACTTCCTGGTTTATGATAACTCGTTCAAAAGATTAACTCCCACCCCCTGGCACTGATGGGGAAGGGGAAGGGGCTGGAGGAGACAGAAGATGAAGAGGAAGATCTGTCGCATGCATACAAGTTTGACGTGATAGTGGAGCTTTGTTGGATACAGCCCAAAAGAAAATGCCCCTATATAAAAGTAAGTAACCCCCATACACCACAGGCACCATACACTTTGGTGAACTCTGGGGAGACGATTCCACAGGTAGAACCCCAGTGGCACAGTGAGTTGGTGTGTCTTGCTGTTAACCAGAAGGTTGGTGGTTCGAGCCCACTCAGGGATTGCTGTGCTTCGGGTACTGGGGTCCTTGGCTGTTTTGCAGCTTTATAGGTTAAAATGAGCCCATTGAATGGGGCCCTGGGATGCACTGGCAGGCAAGGCAAAAGAGCAAGGACCAACGTACTACATTAGAAATGCCTGGTCCCTTTTAGCAACCCCCTACATCGTTCTACATCTACTGTTGGATGGCGCGTTGTACACTGACTTCTGGCAACTCCTGCAGCCAAGCTGGTGCCAAACGTATTACTCTGCCTTTCTTTGGACCATAACAACGCAAAGAAGTTGTTCGACCCACTTAAAATTATGGCAGCCACATTCTGGACCAATTGTAATATCTGCTCAATAGCAGCCATTATAGAGTCTGTTGCAGTCATCAAATCTGAATATGAAGAAGATGCAAATTTCCTGGTTTGGGTGATTTATTTCTCCTGTGTAGTTCCTGCTAGTAGGCACAGGGTGGCAGCAGAGGGCAGCTCTAGGTGCTTACTTCCTAATACCGTGCATCGTTCCAAATCCATAGCAATATGAAACAGTGATGATTTTTATTAAACAGAGAATGTATCTCTGGCTTTCTAACTGCTTTGTATCAGAACACATGGAGGAAGATTGAAGAAATAGTGGGGGGGGGGATATTAGAAAAAGACTGCAAACAGTTTAGGGAGGACAGGAATAAATTAGAGGTCCCCTGAAGCCTATGAGATCAAGGCCCTGCAGAGATTGGAAGTAACCAGGTAACAATTAGATGTTCTGATGTCAAAATAGTCAAGGTATATTTAATTGAACTGTTTTATTATGTTTACGTGTTTCTCACTTTGGGATTGTGTGAACAATGAAGAGTTTATAATCAAACTCTTAACATATTACAGGCCAAGAAACGACCTGAGGCCATAATTAGATCAACAGTAACTTTTTCCCCTCCTCTTTGGTGTCACCTATTTCCTGTCTTATTCACCCTCTGAGTTGGGTGGAGGGAAATTTGTGGCTAAAGGCAGGCTGAGTAGCCGCCATGTTGAGTTTCTCACCTGTGGCTCATCTTGGGCAGGACTTTGAGCTGACTTGGATTGGAACTCAACTGCACTTGAGAGATGTTCTAATCTCGGGGTAGGATTTGGGCATTTAAGAACTCTTTAAGCAGGTTGAAAGTCACTTGCGTGGTTCCTGTATATTTCCTCAAAAACTCTGTTGGGGCAGTTGAAACCAGAGCTAGAGTAGAGGAGTGGGATGTTTTAACTAGTGATGATAAACCTTCCAGTTGTTTCTGGATTCTCAACTCTTGCCAGGAGATCACACGTCACAGCTATAGGTCCTGGTCCAAATTGGGTAGTAGAGCACTTAAAGGTCAAATCTGATTGGATCCCGTGGTGATTTATATCCTTGCTTAAAACGAAAGAGTTATGATCTCTAAAAACGGCTATATTTGATATATTCAGTAACGTTGCAAGCAAACATTATTACTTCTTTGTTCCAACAACCTCAGGGGACCACACATTCACACCCTTCCACCAGACAAGAGACTACCCCAGTTACCTCATCTTAACACCTTGTATATTCTCATTTCAAGACTTGCAAGCTGGAGACTTTAGGCCCCACCATCATGCTTCCTCTTCAATGCGCATGCGCACAGCTTGCTCACTTTTTTGTGACTTTCTAGTGAAGGTGCCACACTGGCACCAATGACTCTGAACACCAAAGGGGTTTTGTTGATTACAGAATACTGTGCTTCAGAAGGGTAATAATGTTTTGCCATTTTTAAAAATTAATTTTGAAGATTGCATGAAGCATAATGGGAATTCAATCAGGAAAAGGGCTGCCTGGGGAAAACTGCTGCTTGCTTGGTGTCCCTTCCGTGCCTCGTATCCTTGGCCTATGGCCCGTCCTTCCATAGGGCCTGCTTGGCCCAGAAGCTGCCAAGAGACAGATCCTGCATCAGGGCTGCTGCCTTCAGCACATCAGCCCCCATCAGTTGTTTTTTAACTGAGGCTGGGAGGCCCTGTTTGCAGCGAGCACCCATGAATTCTGCTTTCTTCTGACACTTATCTCTGATCTCATTTCCTCCCACTCCTCTCCTGACTGCAACCATTGTTCTCAGCGCCCACTCCTGAATCTCTGCCATCCTCTCCCTCTCTCTATGCCATGTACTGTGACAGAGTGACCTTGCCAGTGGCTGTGGTGCTGCTCCTGCCATCCTTTGCCACCAAAGGCGCAGGCAGGGAATGAGGATGATGCCACAACAGTAATAACCCAGCACTTACTTACTTCCTTCCTTCCTTCCTTCCTTCCTTCCTTCCTTCCTTCCTTCCTTCCTCCCTCCCTCTCTCTGCCAGGCTCTCTCTCTCTCCGCTTGGAATGGCAGCCATCCTAACGGATGGATAGATAACAGAGGTCGCTTTTGTTTCTCATAGGCTTTTTCTATAATTTTGCAGCAGAGACAGCAGTGGGACTCAAAAGTTATTGCAAAAGGGCGACCGACGAGAAGGCTGTGGCAGAATGCACAAGAGAAGCAGATGCTCTTATGCTCAGCAGACTCTTTTGCTGGCTTGTCTTGAAACAAGTATTCCCCTTTATGTGGATCCAGTCTTAATTCTACATGCTTGGAGGGGAGAGAGAAGCACTGTGTGGCATTAAGGGGCTGGTGGTCCTGCATCCTACAGATCATCCTAAATGGGAAATGTGTATACAGTGGTACCTCTGGTTACGTACTTAATTTGTTCCGGAGGTCCGTTCTTAACCTGAAACTGTTCTTAACCTGAAGCACCACTTTAGCTAATGGGGCCTCCCGCTGCCGGAGCACGATTTCTGTTCTCATCCTGAAGTAAAGTTCTTAAGCCGAGGTACTATTTCTGGGTTAGGGGAGTCTGTAACCTGAAGCGTATGTAACCTAAAGTGTATGTAACCCAAGGTACAGAGGGTGAGCCTGGGGAAAGGCTTTGGGCCTAAAAGCCCAAATGAGCCTTCCAGGCCTCTCTCAGCTCTCTTCCCTGAGCCACAACCCTGTTTTGTACTCTGCTCGGGTGTTTTTACCTGTCTGGAACAGTTACTTAAAATTCTGCTCATGCTTCTTGCACGCCTGGAAAGAGAGGAACGTGTGAGGGTGTTGAAGCTAGCCTAGTGTACAAAGGTAACACACCTATTATTATTATTATTATTATTATTATTATTATTATTATTATTATACCGACTTTCTATCTTACAATACTCAAGGTGGTTTACAAGCTGAAGAAACAAAAAGTGCACATCTTATAACAATCTAATGCAATACAAAAATGTGATAATAAAACAAAACTTTAAAATAAGCAACCTACATCAAAAAGTAATATTCAACAATTAGTAGAGTAGTATAAAATAATATAACATATAAAAGTTAAATAGAAATCCACTCAACAGTTACAATAAATAATTTCTAAAACTATAATCAATAAAACAATGGCAAGCCACAGTACATAAAATAATACAATACAACTTGAGAAGCAGAGACTAGAGGGTGGAGCAAGGCAGGTGGAAGGAGGCCTTGCCTGATGGAGTCTCTCCCCTCACAGTTGCAAGGCCCACTTTGCCCTCTAGCCTCACCCAGTACTGGCGTCTGGCCCCTCGAACGAAAAAAGTGGCCTTCAGGCTCAGTTTAAGGTTCCCCACCCATTGTTGTTTTATTTGAGAGCCTGCCAAGGCCTCTCAGAAATGACACCTCTCTGTGGTAGTTGACAGGACTCCATTTACCAAGCACCACTAAGCCTTGGGCCTATGCCAGGGATGGAGAAGAAAGCCCCATTGTAATAACTCTCCTTATCAGAATATCTGCCAGTCTCAGCCCCTCACTTGATAATATGATAATCGTGACAATACAGGATAACCGTAACAGACCCTCCAAATGTCCCTATTTTCCAGGGACAGTCCCAGGTTTACAGAAGCCATTCCAGTTTTCTGATTTCGTCCCAGAATGTCCCACTTTTCCATAGGACATCCCCGGTGCTTCCCCCCAAAAAAACAATGTTTAGGGGTACTCTCATTTTGACTCAAGAAAATCACCATTTTGTAGTTCAAATCGGGGGAAAATAAATACAGTAAATGGACAAAAGTACAAAGATTCACAAAATGTTTAGGGGGTATGCGTACCCCCAGGAAGAAAAGCACTGGACATCCCTATTTTCATCAGAGAAATGTTGGAGGGTATGGAGTTTTGCGACCCCTGAGCCAAGGAGATAAGCAACTATACAACCTTTAGAAGGCATCTGAAGGCAGCCCTGTATAGGGAAGTTTTTAAATGTTTAATGTTTTATTATGATTTTATATATGTTGGAGCTACCCAGAGTGGCTTGAGCAATCCATTCAGATGGGTGGGGCATAAACAAAATTATTATTATTATTATTATTATTATTATTATTATTATTATTTAGATAGGGTGTTCCAATTTTAACTGGAGAAAAGTGGAGGATATGCTGTAAACTCCTGCCCCCAACATCATGTATTGAGACAATAACACAGGTGTCAATTGCAGGGCTGTTATAATCTGCACTTCCTCTCTGTTTCCAACCTGCAGTATTGAAATGATGATGATGGATTATGTTTATTGCAATTGCAGTGTTGGGGCTTTAAAAAAATAATAATGATGAAGCTGGCCATCTCCACTGCAATGTGAGTATCAGGATATACACTTCTGTGACCAGAAGGGAAGTTCACCGTCATAAAACATTAAAAGCAGCACTGCTGATATATAGCCTACTGAACAAAGGTAAGAATCACATGCATCTGTTTCTCTGTTCATTTTCCCTCTGCCTCTGCCCACCGTTGGCATATGGTGCCCCCAAACAGGAATTGAGTTGAAAAGGTTCCCTTGGCATATCAGCATTATTGAGCTTGGTGGACCAATGGTTTCAGTGCCAACTCGAATAAAATATTGGGGGGAGCGGGTAAGCCCTGCCTTACATAATTACATGGTGTATGCACACCATTTGAATGGCAATACCTATTAACTTGGGGCAACTCCCTCAAATATTTTATTGGGGGGCCTGAAGGGCCCGAGGCCCCTAGGAGTTGGCTCCTATGGGTCTGACTTGCTTCCTATGTTCTCATGTTTACTAAACATTCAGAAACCAAAAAAGGCCACATCATGGCGGTTTCCTTACTCAGAAATATCAGATCTGTTTCTTAGCCCCAGCTAAAAATCCTTGTTCAGAAACCCAAATGTTGCTAGTAGGAAGTATTATACAATTACAGAATTTGAGCTGTGATTGCAGAATGCAGAATGACTCTGAGACTTAACTTTCTTGAATTGAGATGCTATGCTGTTCTCAGTTTTGCATGCTTGTGGATGTACATTGATACTGACTCAAGTTGACCTTCCAGAAGTTAACTGGCACCAGGGAGGAGCATGAGCATATCCTGTTCCACTTTCTGATGCTAACAAGCCCTTGATATAAAGAAAAACCAGTTCTGTTAATCTTTTAAGCAGTTTTCAATGTACTGGAACACTGGCCATAGTCCCTAAGTGGAAAAGCAAGTACTACTTCTAATTGGATGTTTGTCAAACTAATGCCTGGTGCAAATGTACTGTAGGTGAGTCATATCTGCCCATGGCCATCTGGAGCGAGGCCTCTTACCTTGCACTTCAGCATCACTTGTTTACATCATGAATCTAATTGAAGATTTCCCTTGGAAGACCAATTTGCCTTGCAAAAATAGGGGTGGACATGGTCTTGGCTGCATTATTTGCTTATGATGTGGCTTGTAGAAACATGACAACTTGACATGTTGATCAAGTCTGGGTCATCATTCCTGTCCCTAGTTCTTACATAAACTGCTGCAACTGGGCCCTCTGTAAATTCAGCAACTAGATGAACATCTGCTGTATTATTTGATCCCAGCAGAACATTGGGTTTTATATGTGATGACCAGCTGCAGAATACGGATGTCTGAACAAGAATTACCACTGGCAATATTTACTGTGTAATATTTCAGTTTTCAAAAGGGTTTACAATTCAGTTTCCTTCTGGCCAAAGTGAGGGGATTATGGTCTCCTTTTTCAGAAAACATCCCTAATGGTGGGGTCTATCTTCTTCCTTATAGCTATGTTTTTACAGTGGAATAAAGAAGCATCCTTGCTGTCATGTTGTACATGTATTAATTTAATACGTTCTTATTTTATATTCTGAGCTGATAGATCTGAAGGGCAACTAATAAAAACCTGCAGTTAAAAACTACATAAAATCCAAAAATGAAACTGCATAAATAATAAAACAGGTTGTGCAGCAAGGAAAATCAGGAGAGAAAAGAATGTCAAGTTGAATCAGATAAAAGTGATCAATAAGCCCCAAAACTCTTCTGTGGGGAAAAAAGACTCATTCTTATCAGTTCCCTAACAGACAGAAGAGTGGAAGCATGGTCAATGACCCTACAAAGAGAATGCCAATGTCTCAATGCCCTGTTTGGCTAACCACCCACCCACCAAAGGCTTATAGTTAGGTTTCTCAGGAAGTTTTTATTAATGAATAGGTACGGTATGTTTTATGAGGGACGTGGGTGGTGCTGTGGGTTAAACCACAGAGCCTAGGACTTGCCGATCAGAAGGTCGGTGGTTTGAATCCCCGCGATGGGGTGATCTTCCGTTGCCCGGTCCCTGCTCCTGCCAACCTAGCAGTTCGAAAGCACGTCAAAGTGCAAGTAGATCAATAGGTACCGCTCCGGCAGGAAGGTAAAGGGCGTTTCCGTGTGCTGCTCTGGTTTGCCAGAAGCGGCTTAGTCATGCTGGCCACATGACCCGGAAGCTGTACGCCGGCTCCCTCGGCCAATAAAGCGAGATGAGCGCCGCAACCCCAGAGTCGGTCATGACTGAACCTAATGGTCAGGCGTCCCTTTACCTAGGTATGTTTTAAAAGGGAGAAGTTGGTCCTTGAGCTATCCTAGCTGTACACAATTAAACACCAAAGAGGTTAAACATGTCCCTTTGAACTGGGCCTGGAAACCAACTGGGATCCAGTGAAGTTGTCTTAGAATCAACACTGTATGTTCCACTCTTGCCATCCCCAGTTAACATTCTGGAATTACCTTCTGGATCAGCATAAGTGCCAACTCCCTGGGGTCCTGGGTGCCCAAGTACCCATAAAATTCCCCATGAAGGGGCTGGGCACCCACAAATTTCAATGCCAAGGCCATGCACGCTGCATGGCACCTACTGCCCCGGGCACCCATGGTCACAGGGCTAAGTTGGCATTCCTGTGGATCAGAGATAGTTATTGAGAACCTTTCAAAAGCTGCCAGCGTGGAGTATGTTACAGTAATCCAGTGGTTTTCAGCTAGTGTGCCGTTGCACCTTGGGGTGCCTTGAATGATGGTCACGGGTGCCGCAGGCCTCTGTCCCTCTTTCCTTCCCTCCCTCCTCTGATGCCCTCTCCTTTCTCTGTCTCCCAAAGGCTTGCACAGCTGTTTATTGCAGCAGCCCTGGCTATAAACTAGAGTGGTACCTCGGGATGCGAAAGGGATCCATTCCAGAGCCCCATTCACATCCTGAATAGAATGTAAGACGCGATGGCGCATCTGCGAATTGCGTTTTGCTGCTTCCGCACATGCGCACGACGTCATTTTGAGCGTCTGCACATGCGTGAGCGGTGAAACCCGGAAGTAATGCGCTCCATTACTTCTGGGTTGCCGTAGAGCGCAACCTGAAAACGCTCAACCTGAAGCACATTCAACCCAAGGTATGACTGTATAAGCTTCGCAGGCGAATTGTGCCTCTGGGAGGCACCCCTCTTTGGGGCAGGGGGTGAAGCTCAGAGACTTGGGGCTGCTCAGAGGACTCCCAAGGAGAGGGGAGAGGAGAGGAGGCTGAGGTAACACTCCACAGGGGAGGGTGTTCAAAAAAGGGAGAGAGGCTACCAGCTCTGCAGGCAAGGGGTGACATAACTGGGCTCCTGAGCCCCACAGGGGTGGCACAGAAAGAATGTAGTTGGTTAAGGGAGCCGTGGACTCAAAAAGTTTGAAAACTTCTGCAGTAATCTGTTCACACTTATGCGTGTGGTTTCCCCATGCACATCCAGCTAGGAGCCACAGCATGGCGCCAGAGGGCAGCAGCAGGTGCTTATCCCTGCTTTTGTACTTCATCTACATTCCAAGGCCGATTTGGGGGGAAAACACACAAAAAACAAAGAATGTCCCCTTTGTTTTCTGATTGCTCAGAACAAAAGGAAGTAAGAATGAAGAGAAAGGGGGGAGGAATAGTGAGACAGACTGCAAACTGTTTCTGGAGGACAGCATCAAAAGTAGAGGTGCCCTGAAGCAAGTGAGATCAGTCACTACAGTAATGGGGGGAAACGAAGGAACAATTACGGTAGATGCTCTCCTTCTCTCTTATGGCAAGGTTTCAAGTTGAAACCTTGTCTCCATGTAATCTGCTCTGAGGTTTGCAGAAGGCTAGTCTTGCATTCCAGGCCTGAGGTCCTATTTATGTCAGAAACCATCTTTTCCTCTTTGGTGTCACCTGTTTTCTGTGTGACTCATCCTCTGAGCTGGGTGGAGGGAATTTTGGGGCTAAAGCTCAGCAATGCCTCAAGGACAGGCTGAGCAGCTACAGTGCTGAATGTCTCATCTGTGGCTCATCTGGACAGGATTTTGAGCTGACCTGGATTAGAACTCAGCTCCACCCGAGAGCTGCTTTAATCGAGGAGTAGGATCTGGGCATTTAAAGTCACTGGTATGGTGCCTGTATATTCCCGCCCCTGCATGAATAATAAAAAATTGGTTGGGGGTCTTTGGACCACAGCTGTGACTTAGAGGTGCATTAGACCAGGGATGATAATATAACACCGGTCCTGAAAGACCTACATTGGCTCCCAGTACGTTTCCGGGCACAATTCAAAGTGTTGGTGTTGACCTTTAAAGCCCTAAACGGCCCCGGCCCAGTATACCTGAAGGAGCGTCTCCACCCCCATTGTTCTGCCCAGACACTGAGGTCCAGCACCGAGAGCCTTCTGACGGTTCCCTCACTGCAAGAAGCTAAGCTACAGGGAACCAGGCATAGGGCCTTTTTGGTAGTGGCTCCTGCCCTGTGGAACGCCCTCCCATCAGATGTTAAAGAGATAAACAACTAACTAACATTTAGTAGACATATGAAGGCAGCCCTGTTCCGGGAAGTTTTTAATGTGTGATATTTTAATGTATTTTTAATCTTTGTTGGAAGCCGCCCAGAGTGGTTGGGGAAGCCCGGCCAGATGGGCGGGATACAAATAATAAATTATTATTATTATTATTATTATTATTATTATTATTATTATTAGGCTCCAACTCCTGCCAGCTTCAGTTAGCGTGGTCAACAATCAGGGATCATGAGAGATGAGTACCATCTGGAGAGTCATAGGATCCCCACTCCTGGGTTTGATGTTACAGTGAGTATGATTTTTATATTGCTGTAAACTGCTGTGATCTATTTTTATGATACAGCAGTATTTAAATATTTTTTGATAAATAGATAAATAAAAGAACTAATATATAAAAAAGTTGGGAGATCCAGTTACAGATTTCTTGCACTTTATCCTTAGACACTCTGCCGCCTGGTAGGTGCAACTTCCATGCTTCGTATGCTTAGCCTGTGGTTCATCCTTCCAGAGGGGTCTGTTTGGCCCAGAAGCTGCCAACAGATAAATCCATCCCCAGGGCTGCTTCCTTCAACACCTTATCGGGTGAATCCTGCTACTTTCTGCAGAGGGTGGGAGGCCCCATCTCCAGTGCCCATGAACTTTGCTTTCTTCTGACGCTATCTCTGATCTCATTTCCTCCCACTCCTCTCCTGACTGCGGCCATTGTTCTGAGCACCCACTCCTGAATCTCTGCCATCCACTCCCTCCCTCCACGCCATGCGCTGTGACAGGGTGACCTTGCTGGTGGTGTGCTGCTCCTCATGTTGCTCTCTCCCGCCTAAGGCCCAGGCAGAGAATAAGGATGGTGACACAACAGTAACAGTCCATCCATCTTTCTCTCCTCTCTGCCAGGCTGTCTTCACTCTGAATGGCCAAAGAGAGCCATTGATATGGATGGCTAGATATAGAGGCTGCTTTTGTTTCCCATTGGCTCTTCCCAGAAGATTGTGGCAGACACAGCAGCAGAACTCAAAAGGTATTAGAAAGGAGGAATAGATGAGGAGGAAAAGGGACATTATAAGCGGAATGCAAGAGAGAAAGGAGGTTCTTATCAGTGCCAGATTTAAGGCAGTGTGGGCATGCAGAGCTGAGGGAGCGCAAAATATTATAATAATAACCACCACCACCACCTATACTTATATGAGTGCCTACTGAGAAGATCCATAAAAAATGACTGTACTGAAAGAAATTATAGTGCAAATAAGAAATATTTGGAGGGGATAACTATTTTTGCCCTCGCTCAGGGTGCTGCATTACCCAGTTCTGCCACTGTTCTCATGTTCAGTAAACTCTCTTGCTGTCTTGAAACAATTTTTCTCTTTCCTGTTCTGTGACCCAGTCTAACTTTATGCACAACAGAAGAGAAACACAGCGTTGCATTAAGGTGCTGGTTCCTGGGTCCTACGGGACGCGGGTGGCGCTGTGGGTAAAAGCCTCAGCGCCTAGGACTTGCCGATCGTCAGGTCGGCGGTTCGAATCCCCGCGACAGGGTGCACTCCCGTTGCTCGGTCCCAGCGCCTGCCAACCTAGCAGTTCGAAAGCACCCCCGGGTGCAAGTAGATAAATAGGGACCGCTTTATAGTGGGAAGGTAAACGGCGTTTCCGTGTGCTGCGCTGGCTCGCCAGATGCAGCTTGTCACGCTGGCCACGTGACCCGGAAGTGTCTCCGGACAGCGCTGGCCCCTGGCCTCTTAAGTGAGATGGGTGCACAACCCTAGAGTCAGACACGACTGGCCCGTACGGGCAGGGGTACCTTTACCTTTCCTGGGTCCTACTGATGATATTGAGAGGGAACAGTGATCTAGCGCTGTAGAACAAGGGTCTCGAGTCCAAAGGTGGCTAGAATCCACACTTCTTTGCCCTTTAATAATTTCATCCAAACCCTAGAGGTGTTAGGTTGTTCTTAGACTTTACATATGCTCAAGGAGGTACTAGCCCCATGTGCAAGGCTATGGTTCCAGGATATGATCTGAAGGCAGCTGAGGCTAGCACTTTGCCAAAGCCAAGGAGGTTCAGACAGTGCCTGGATGGGAGACTGCAGATCTACACATATATTTAAAGCATGTCTAGCACACATTTAAATCACATGACCTTCCCCCAAAGAATCCTGGGAATGACTATTCCCCACTCACAGAGATACCGTTCCAGGCAGCCTTAACAAACAAAGTTCCCAGGGTTCTTTGGGGGAAGGTCATGTGCTTTAAATGTGTGTTGGATGTGCTTTAAATGTGGACTTCTCTAAATAATAATAATAATAATAATAATAATAATAAATTTTATTTATACCCCGCCCTCCCCAGCCGAAGCTGGGCTCAGGGCGGCTAAGACTGACATGTATGCTAACTTGGGTTACATGATGCAAGGAAGGAAGGGGATATAAAGGTAAGGAAATACAATAAAACCCCGGCACAGCAAACATGTCAGGCGGCTTCTGAAATCAGGACCTGGGATTGAGCTGTTTTGATAGATTTCTAAATACACGTAAACAAGGCTGGTGTGATGGAAGTATCCACCCAAATGTCCTTCCTTGGTTGAGTCATTATATTTGTTCTTAGGTTGTTAAGTCCTCCCATGTTACCTGGTAGCAGCCTTAAGGGAACATCCCAAAATTGTCTCTTCTTCAATCCAAATATTCCTATTTACCTTTCTAGAAGTCTTTTCAATGCTATGCAGGTTGTATTTCATGTCTCCTTCCCAAGACAGGGCCAAACATTTTTGCTGCCTGAGGTTATGAACAAGATTCCCTCACTACCACCACTTCATTCAACATATAGAAGCCACATACAAAAGCCACATACAGAGAGGCAGTGTGGTGTAGTGGTTAGAGTATTGGACTAGATCCTAGGACACAGGGTTCAAATCCCCACTCAGCCATGAAGCTCACTGGGTGACCTTGGGATAGCCACTACCTCTCAGCCTAACCTACCCCACAGGGTTGTTGTGAGGATTAAATGAGGAGGGAGAGAACCATACCTGCTGCCTTTAACTCCTTGGAGAAAAAAAGTGAGATATAAATGCAACAGAATAAAACTGGCAGGTGAATTTTTCTTCAGCAGTCGGGTCCTCCACCAGCTGGCTAACTTAGGGAGTCCAGGGGGCAGACATCATGGCACTGTACAGTTCTGGCATCTTCTGCCAATCAGCATTGGCCATCTCAGACAGCCGCCTCCCTCTGCCCAACAGTAGGGCTGGCTCTTCCTCCTTCTAGTAGCATTGTGAGGTGGGCTGAATAAGACTAAGATAAGGAACTGGAAACTACTTAGTGAGCCCCATGTCTAATCTGAGATTTGGACTCAGTTCTCCCAAAGCCAAATGTAGTTCTTCAGCCTCTACAACTAGCTGATTTAAGAAAAAGGAAACCTTACTGATGATTAGTTTTAGGGATTGTGACAGTATTAGAGGAAATCTATCCTACTTCCCAACCTGTGAAAAACCACATTTGTCTGTGAAGTGGCATGACATGTTTCCGTTCTACACAGTGAAGACTAAAATCTTACTTTAAGTGTTGTTTGTTTTTGAAGCATGTTCTGGACAGATGTGGCAAGAATCTCCTTTGGGCACCTGACAGAGCATATATACTTGGAAGTAAGTCCCATTGAATGCAGGTAAGCATGTATAGAATTACAACCTGAAAGTGGGCGGAATACAGTACAGCCTTTCTTCCCTGACACAGACCTTACATTAACCACATGTAAAACACTGTTATAATGCCCAAAGTTTCCAATACACCACATTGGCCGCACTGGAAGAGAGAGAATCCGCCACCCCACCCCACAACGCTGTTCAGTCCTGATATTTTAAAGGTAAAGGACCCCAACAGTTAAGTCCAGTCGCAGACGACTCTGGGGTTGCGGCGCTCATCTCGTTTTACAGGCCGAGGGAGCCAGCGTTTGTCCGCAGACAGTTTTTCTGGGTCATGTGGCCAGTATGACTAAGCTGCTTCTGGTGCAACGGAACACCGAAACCAGAGGAGTGCATGGAAACACCGTTTACCTTTCTGCCGGAGTGGTACCTATTTATCTACTTGCACTTTTTTGCGTGCTTTCAAACTGCTAGGTTGGCAGGAGCTGGGACTGAGCAATGGGAGCTGATATTTTAGCTCCTCCCAAATATGCATGCAATCACATGATAGGTAGGTAGGTAGGTAGATTTGTAGATTCCAGCAACTGCAAAATGAACTCACATTACCCCAAGGCAGGCTTGTTTTATATGTTGTCAGTGCTTCATCTCAGGCAAATAAATAAATTCATCTATTCAGGCACATTACACAGAATTAACATTACACAAGGGGAGAAAGTGGTGGGCATCTCAGCTTTTTCAATATCAGTTAAATCACAGCTAATTAAAAAAAAACCTCAGCCCAGCTGCCCTTCTTCATATAGCAGGATAGTCCTAAGGAACCAGGGTGTGCTTAATGGGAGAGAGAGCCTTTTTAAAGGATTTCTTAATTACTAAACCTGGAGGTGAAGGGGAAGCCTGGTCCAGCCAAGGGCAGTGGCGTAGCGTGGGGGGGTGCAGGGGGGGGCCGGCCGCACCGGGCGCAACATCTGGGGTTAGGGCAAATCCATGGGTTAGGGGGCGCAAACCCACAGGTTAGGGGGCGCAAATCCACGGGTTAGGGGGCGCAAATTACTTTCCTTGCCCCGGGTGCTGACAACCCACGCTACGCCGCTGGCCAAGGGTATTTATGTATAGACACAGGAGTCAGATTGTAACGGGGAAAATGGCTCATCTACTTTTGATACAATCAGGGAAGTGGGTTAAATCTGCGGAGCGTGGCTCGGTGGGATTTTTACTCGGTGGGATTTTTACTAACTAAAGTTGTTTGCACGTCCCTGCTACTAGCAGTATTTATTTATTTAATATAATTTGCACATTGCTTGATGGAGTGGAGGGAATCCCCACCCTCAAGCAAAATGACCACTAACAAAAAATGATCCACAATATAGTCAGAGAATGGATTACTGTATGTTGATATGGCACGGTTTCTCAAACTGGTAGTTTCGTTGCTAGTTTGATCCATTGACTACAGCGGTGCGCGCGTTATTATGAACTCTTTTTCATGAGAGTTTGCAAAAGAACAACAACAACAACGTGGATCACCCTTGCCTAGAACTAGATAAGGCTTCCTACCTCCACCCTTCTTTTTAAAAAAGTAATAATACAGTAATACAAATCTCCGCTTTCCACTCCTCGGCATGGGAGCTTAGACTGTTGTCCTCTGATTGGCCAGGCTAGGGCGCAGCCTCAGCCAATGAGGCGCGACTTAAGCTTCCCCTTGAATGAAGTGTGTGTAATTTGCGAGTTGTTGTGTGTAAGTGAAACTGATCAAAGGCGCCACGGCTGGTGTTCTTGGCTCTAGAGGAGAACTTGTCGCGTCGAGAGGCGGCGGGGACGGAGGCGATCAGCTCCATACACCCCCGCTGAGCCGGAGAACCGGAGAGCTTGGTGGGCATTCCGCTTGGGGATCAGGTGGCTCATCCTGCCGCCCTCTGCCTCATCCCCAATGCAGAATGCCATAGCCTGAAAAACGCGCTGCCGCATGCCAGGAGCAAGTGGTGGAGGGAGGAAGGCAGAGAAAGGAAGGAAGGAAAAAGCCCAAGCAAAATACAAAAGCAACTCAAGATCTTCCAGCGATGAAGAGCAACTTGGTCAGAAGCTTCGTGCCTTGGCTGGTCCTTCTCCTGTGGAGCCTGCGGTCTGCAGCTTCTCAAGCAGGTAAGTGACCCCGAACAGTCTAAAAATGTGCGTTATCTGTCGTCTTCTTTTCTTTTTGGCTGCCTTGAGCGGAATCGCGAGGAGAAAACTGCCCTTTGCAATAACACAAACGTGTGTCTGTTTAGCCCTAAACAGGACCTTACACGGCGGCTGTGTTTATATCCCGCATGATAGTGGTGTGTAAACCCCCCCCCCTACTCCCCCCCTGAAATCGGATGCGAGGCGTTTGATTATCTTTCTCTCGTTTTGTCAGCCGTAGGGAGGGGAACTGTGTACTAGTTTCACACCACGGAGAGACGCCTTTGAACCTGTGCCGCCGAGCTGTGGCAAAACCTATTTTCGTGTCTCGTCCTCCCCAGCTTCTCAGCTCTTCCTTTCTCTAAAGGGAGAGGGATACCCCCCCCCAAACAAACAAACCACAACGATCTTTTATTTTCGCGATTGGTACGGGTCTGAGGAGCGCGATCCTGGCTCGCTGATTGCGGCGTTTGGAGGAGAGGCGTGTGTGCTTCTCCTAAAAGGGAGGGCAGAAACTTCAAGGCAAACTTTATGGAATCTGTAAAATGTTGTTTCGCTTGTTTGAAGGGTTGGGTTTTGGAATCAACTGTGGGGAAGACTTTTGTGTGTGTGTGTGTGGGGGGGTGTTCTTTAGGCTGAAATTACAGAACCAGGACTTGATCTTCAGCCCTCCCAGCCTTTGAAATTGATTCCCTAGGTCTTGTTTAAACCTCAAAACCCTGGCGCACTTGAAGTAATGATAATACGTAAACAAGTGACTGTGAGCATGTGCAAAGTGCGTTTCCATAGCCCCTCCCCACTTACATACCTGGGATTTGGGGCTTACAGGATATATAGGTTAGAGAAGGTGTGGTTTTCAGGTAGGATTCGACTCTTTGTTTTTCCCCTTGAAGTTAAGTGCCATCTTGGAGGGAAAAATTATTATTGTATTAGTCATTAGTGATGTATGAGACAAGTGGCTACTTCACACAACCCTTCCACAAAATTTTATTCAGTGCCATGTTCTCCTCCCTGAGGAGTCCCTCCACTCATGATGTTCTTAAGGAGAACTTAATTCTTTCATTCTTTCTTTGGTTGGGGGGGGGGATTCTTGGGTCAGAGTAACTTCCTCTTCATGGTTCCCTATCCAGGGCACATAAAATAACAAACCCTAACCCTACTTACCTGGGAGTAAGCTCAGTTGAATACAGTATGACTAACTTCTGTGTAAACATGGTTGGGACCTGCGGTTCATATTGATCAATTGCCCTCTAATAACCCTGCCTGTTGATAGATTGAAATACGCCAAAGCAGTGGATTCATCCTGCCCTTTCAAAACAGGTTTATGGGGTTAAGTAGGGGATTCGGATCCACTGTAGTTATTGAGGCTGCGTGAGGGAGTGGCAGCTACTCCAGACTAATTAATGGAGTTTGGGGGCGTGAGCCTGTGTATCTGACATTCCAGTCACCAATATAGATTAGAATCCTGACTCCACCTATACTGAAAGAACATGCAAGGGGGGAGAGTTGGAAACAAGCTTGTCAACACTTTAACTAATGGTGATCTTGAGTAGAAAAATCCAGTGAGGTAACACATGCTCTTTCAACTCTTCTCCAGTGTGCTGTGCTTACACAAATTCTGAACCAACCATAATATTTCAAACTGCCAACTATTGGGAAAAGCTTGCCTTGCCCCAGTTATCCTGGGGGTGCAATGCAGGTGTTGTGATGTAGTGAATTCTGTGGGTTCTTGTTGCCCGCTACCCAGAAAGAAGGGGGGGCATTACATTGGTACTGATGCATGACTTTCTCCTGCTCTCATATACAGTGGTACCTCGGGTTACATACGCTTCAGGTTACATACGCTTCAGCTTACAGACTCCACTAACCCAGAAATAGTGCTTCAGGTTAAGAACTTTGCTTCAGGATGAGAACAGAAATTGTGCTCCGGGAGCGCAGCAGCAGCAGCAGGCCCCATTACCTAAAGTGGTGCTTCAGGTTAAGAACAGTTTCAGGTTAAGTATGGACCTCCGGAACGAATTAAGTACTTAACCTGAGGTACCACTGTAATATTAGAACCCGGGATCATTCAATGAGGCTGTATAATGGGGAGATTCAGGGCAGACAAAATCAAGTACTTCTTCGCAGCTTCCACAAGAGGCAGGGATGGCTTTAAAAGGAGATTAGACAAGTTCGAGGAGGCTACAAAGAGGGAAATGCACTCTGCACATGCAATAAGCCCCTGAATATTGGTTGCTGGGGAATACAAATACACTGCAGTCTTGTCCCTAGTTGGCCAGTGTAGCTAACAGGATGTTGGACAAGTTTTGGGCTTGATCTTCTGCTCTGATTATGGAGAGGAGACTTCCACTATGTAGTTAAATTCTACTTAAGGAATGTCTGTGTGTGTCTCTGTGTGGGACTTGCCATAATCATTCCTGCCTTTCCATCTCCCATTGCTGAACTGTGTCATTGGGGGAGAAAGGGGAGAGGCCCTGTTGCCTTGCAGGTGGCATTCTTCCATTCCCGTCAGATTCAATCCATACCTTGGACTGGCAGGTTCCAAGTGCGAAGATTAGAAAGGGAGAAAAAGTTTTGATTTGAAAAGGGCCAAGTCCACTTTCCTATCTTGTTTTGTGGTTTCTTAAGCCAACAGACTGGGGGAAATAAAAGGAGTCCCTTAAATCGATGCTGTTTGAAAGGTTAACCTCTCCAGCTAGGCACTGTGGTATGGAGGAATTTTTCTGCACAGCGTTTCCTTGGCTATCTGTTGTTTAAAAATAAAAATCTTTGGGGAGGGTGTTGTGTGTGTGAAAGAACTATGGATGTCCTCCTCTCTTAGACACTGGACACAGAGTCAAAACAAGTTAAGCATTCGTCCCGTTTTTCTGCCCGTAAATATGTTTGCAAATATTTTTGAGAACAAAGTCCTTTGGAATGCTTAACTTCCTCGGCAGGTTCCCTTTGCACCAATGGGTTGGGGAACCATCTGCAGCCTTTCAGATGTTGTTGAGCTCCATCTCCTATCAGACACCCCCCCCCACCGGCATGGCCAGTAGTCAAGACTGATGGAGAGGGCCACAGGTTCCCCATCCTTGCTTTATTATGTCCATGTTATCTGGAATGCAGTTTTCTTGGTGTATTCTAGGGAATGTTTAGGGGCTGCAAGGTGGTGGATGAAGGAGAAAGCTAGAGAGGTGGGAGTAACCTTTTAGCAAGGCTTTGTTGTCATAAGAACATAAGAAGATCCCATGCTGCTGGATTGGGCAAAAGTCCTTCCCGTCCAGGATCCTGATAGCAGCCCGCCAGGTGCCTCTGGGAAGCCAACAAGCAATGCTAAGAGGCAATAGTTCTCTCTAGCTCTTGAACCCTGCAACTGGCACTTGGAGGCTTCATTATGACTGTTGTTCATTGATAGGCTTTTTTTTCATATGGGTGTTTAATTCTGCTTTAAAGTCATTTAACCCAGAGGTCATTTCAATAATAATAATAATAATAATAATTTATTTATACCCTGCCCATCTGGCTGGGCTTCCCCAGCCACTCTGGGTGGCTTCCAACAGAACACTAAAATACAATAACCTATTAAACATTAAAAGCTTCCCTAAACAGGGCTGCCTTCAGATGTCTTCTAAAAGTTTGGTAGTTATTTTTCTCTTTGACATCTGGTGGGAGGGTGTTCCACAGGGCGGGTGCCAGTACCGAGAAGGCCCTCCACAAATAATTTATGCTGAAAATCAATAAATTGTGCTTGAACTGCTAAGATGGGTTGTTGTTGTTTTAAAAACGATAGTAGCGTGGAGCGTCTCCAAAAGCACAGGGCCCTCTGCAAAAAAAGTTGAATGAGTGGCCAAGCAGTGGCCCTCCAAATGCTGTTGGACTTGCAAAATCTAAAGTGCTGCAGGACTAATCTGATGGGCAATCACCAACATTAGTAATTTCAGCAGACCAGTTTAAATGAATTGACCTAAACTCATTGACTTCAATATGCCTGCTCTGATTATTACTAAATGTTGGGTCAACCCCTTAAACATTGCACTAGAAGCTGCTTAAAAGAGCAGTAATGTCAGTTCATGCCAATTAACATGGGAGCAATGTGCTTTGTTTTTGTAAGACCTTATTTAACTGAAAAGCAACTAATCAGTATATTCAATTATAACGAAGAGATACCGGTCTTCCTCTGCAAAGATGTTTATGTGAGGTGCCTGCAGCGATGTGTGGCCTTGGGTAGGGTTATGCATTTGCAGGGAAGTGTGGCCTTGGACCGGGTCTCTTGGCACACCTCCAGCCCGGTGACCCTAACCAGAACAACCCCTTCCTGTCTTTCCTATCTCTTGAGGCTGGTATATTTACACTGGCACAAATGATGCACCTTTTCGCTTTATGCTGCATTTCTGCTGACATGTATTCTGCCTTTTGTACTTTACGCAGTGTGTTTCAAGGCACTTGGACTCTGCAGCTGTTCGCTAATGAACAACTATGCTGTGGGGAGCCACCTCATAGGTGAAATCGCCCTCTGTGAAGTCAGATAGGTCATTGTCCTCTATGTTGTTGTTAGGTCTCTACAGAGAGATCACATCTCACAACCTTTTCTGCTGCCAGCACCAAGGCAGCGCTGGTATTCCGAGGGTTTCTAACCCTTGGAACTGCTACCTTATTGGAAGGTAGTGATCAGGCCAAATAGACACAATGAAACTGAGAAGGAAGGGAGACCTCCATAGGGAACCTTTGCTGGTTCCCCTACAGAAGCATTTCTGCGATTCCTTCCATAGCTCAGTGGTATAGCATATGTTTTGCATGTGGAAGATCCCAGATTCAACCTTTTGCCTCTCCAGGTAGCGTTTGCAGAGGCCCCTGCCCTGGGACCCTGGCAAACTTCTGCCAGTCAGTGCATACAGAAATGAGCTAGATGGGCAGTGGCCTGACTTGGTATATAGCAGCTTCCTCTGTTCTCAGCTGTCTTAATTTCCTCTGCCAAGAGGAAACAACCTTTATTTTTCTCC